CGTCAGTCTCGTCACTCTCGCCCAGCACTTCGCGTACCTCGACACAGCTGCGGGGGAAGATGCCGCTGAAGACGCGAGCCTCTAGTGTTTGGCCATTCACACTGGTCAGGCCGGCAAGCAGACTTGGAGGGGCGACCAGGTAGCCTCTCAACCAGTTTCCATCGGGTGTCTCTTCGATGATGTATAGCTCGTCGCCGATTTCGAGGGGGAGGTCGGCTGCGCTGGAGGCAGTGAAGGGGTATGTAGCTACGGCGAAGGCAATTCGGGGCAGTGGTTGCCAGGGCATCTTGACTGTGTTGGCCAGGTAAAAGGCATCTATCTATGTCTCGAGCTATCTGGTGGGTGGTGGATACTGCGACAAGAGGATAGCTGTAGATGTCGCCGTCGCCGTCGCCTTCGCGGGTGTGTTGAGCTAGGAACCTGGAGCTCAGCTCAGCTTTTCCTAGTAGAGACTGACTCGGTCGGTCGATCGGTCGGTCGGTTGTCCGGTATTAGGGTTTACGATTAAGAGATCGGGGTATGGAATGTGTCGTGGTTGACTGTCTGGTTGGACTCGTGAGAGGTCAGCTAAGCTGAGGGGTTTCGAGATATTCCTGACGAGTAAAGGGACAGATGGGTGACTGACTGAGTGGTTCGTCCGGACTGGGTCCCTCCTGTCTGGGTGAGGTGTCTGGTGATTTGGGTAAAGGAGACGGGCCGGTGCCTCTCTCTCTCTGTAGAACGAAGCGAGCGTATTCGGTCGGGGATTGGCGGTCCTGAATGTGCTGAGGACAGGAGCTTGGACGTGGGCTCGTCGTCGAGTCGTGGGTTTCGTGGTTGAAACTGAATGAGTGAGAATCGAAGGAGCGACTGGACTTGTCAATTCCGTTGCTGCGCAAGGTTGAAGCGCAACGATTCCCTTGCCACGTACCCAATTTTACCGCAATGCGCTAAGAGCACTAAAAGTCCACTGAAGGTCCAGATTGGCGACAGGGGTCACGAAAGGGGTTTAAACACTTCAACTTGTACACCTAAAGCAGGTCCGGGCATTACATTACACAAACACAACAGATGCACGTCGGACAAGCTGAAAGGTGACGAGAACTGTCAATGTTTTGGCGCATGTCGTCTTGACTTTGACTGGGTAGATTCATCCGATGATGGTGACAGCAGCCCCTGGCTTGTGCGGACGGGATGAAAGTGATGGATGTGGGAAATTCATTGACTCGGAAAAAGCAATCATGTAATACCGAACGGTACCTTACAGGAGGAGAACCCAATACATCCCCGTGGTTCCTGTCTTGGACTCTAGAGAAGCACAGCCACGATCTCTATAGTAGACAGACTCACAAATTTGAGAGCAACTGAAAGATATCTAGCACTACCACCATCCAACGTGGCTTGCCGTCGAATCCGCGAATATGTCCGGGGACTGTCTCAGTTCTCAGCTCCATGGTAGGGCCCAAGTGGACTGCAAGCGACATTCTCGGGAACACCTCAATTAAGGTAATCTCGAATCTTGGCATCCCTCCCTCCCTCTTCCCTCACTTTGATGTCCCTCCTCCTTACCTACCTTGGGTACATATCCAAAGTCCCCAAAACTGGCGCCCCAGACCAGGATGGATACTGAATCAAGATGAACATCTGATATTCCAATGCCCTTTTATCTCATTCTCGACATGTCAACAGCAACAACAACAACAACAACAACGACCTTTATTTGATCTCAGACCTCCCCTTTTTCATCACACGATGAGAAAGGTCCGTGCTGTGTTTCTCGAAATGTGTCTCCACAGCTTCGCCGTTCCTGGGCGCTGGTTCCTGGTTCCATGCGCGGTTTATAGTGGGTCCTCTGCTTATCGTGCCCTGTCGCACATGATTGACATGCACGAGAGCGGGACACTCATCGACCAGTCACTGCCTGCCGCTGCCCTGCCAAGTGCCTGCCCTGTCTGTTTCAGTGTTGCTCTCCTGTCGATTGCAATTCGTTTGTTCCCTTGTCCTCCCCATCGTCTTCCATTCCGACAACGTTCGCTACCTTCAGCCCAGAAGCCCAATCTCCAGTCGCAAATCGTAACGTCTTTCTCCCCCTCCCCGGGTAGGATTTAGGGATGGCCTTCGTCCCGGGGCATCAACGCTGATCCGCGTCCTTCCACTCATCGTGAAGTGTTTCCAAAGACTTGACGCCTTTCCTTAGGGCTACCTGCTGACATCATGCTCGTCTCAACAGACTGTTATTGCCAAAGTATATTGGCCCGACATCGCGTCCCAGCGGTTGCTTTCCAGGCCCGGCATACCCTTACGCTATCTACCTCGACAGCCACAATCGCGGCCATGACCATGATCCATACCAGTGCACAATCACGGTGCCGACCGAGAATCGATGCTACATATGGCTACGGCTTCCCGGTAAATACCATCGAAGCTCGACGACCGAAACCTCTGCATACGCCGCCACGAAAATATGAAGCACGGTCCCATCCCGAGTCCCAAGAGCTGAAGAACCACTGCCAAGCCCGTGTCACAGTCGCACGCATACCAGTGCGAAACTGCCATGCAACCTCCTCCGGGTCTTTCATATTTTATTGAGAGACATGATCAACCCGTGCCGGATTCGAGAAACCCACGCGGGCGGCTCGGAAGGATATACCCGTGGCTTCTGTTCCACGCCCTAGTGGCGCCTCTACACTCGCTCGGAACAGGGAACGGATGGTCAAAGCTGAAAGAAGGGATGACAGCCATCACACAATATCGGCTACACTACCCGGTTGTCTGCCGAACCTGTGCCCGGGTGCAACTGATCCTTTGTTGCGCCGAGGCGCACAAGCTTCCCAGTTGGGCGGTGGCTTATGGTACGCTTGCGCGGCTCTGGCATCGTCTTCGCGGAGCCGTCCTTGCCAAGTGGCAAGGACAGTATACATGATGATGGTCGTCAGTCGCGGAAGCACAGGGTACAATGTGCTCACTAAATACCAGATCTTCTACACGTCCACGTTGCTCAACAAGCATCCTCGTTGCGACAGCTTCGCCCATGACGTCCCCATCTTCAACCCCTGTGGAGTCTCCGCCCTCGGGAGCGGGCCATCCCGGCCTCATCGTTTCCAGGCACCCAGGGTCCCGTCCGGAGCACAAGTCCACTACATGCCCGATCTCCACCTTGATTAGGGCATACATGGGTTGATAAAGACACACTCCCAGCACGCAGCTCAAGAGCGAGCAATCATCACCCGCCTGTGAAGGTTGTATAGTGTAGCGGTTATCACTCCGGATTCTGATGTCTTCAGAACATTCCGGCAACCCCGGTTCGATTCCGGGTACGACCTACCTTTTTCCTTTTGTTCAGGCTTCAGCTTGTTAGCTGGCGAAATGTTGTGCCACGGATTTTTTTCATTTTGTTGCTCACGTCTTGGGTCAGATGTCAAGTGCTATTCATTCTGAGATGATTATTGACAATTTACGGTGACATCTCCATCTTCCCTTTCTTGCAGCAAAAAGTGCTGATGCATTTTGCCTCTTATGTTATTCGTCTTGCCCATGCTAGCATGAAAAACGTTGACAAGCATTTGCACAGGCGGAATTATATGTTGTTCTCGCGTGTGATAATCTTGTTTTTCCTGAAACTTTGGCTGTTGCTGGAAGCAAAGAAACGCTTGTCACGAAAACAAAAATGCAAAAGATCAGGTCGTACCCGGAATCGAACCGGGGTTGCCGGAATGTTCTGAGGGGATTCAGAATCCGGAGTGATAACCGCTACACTATACAACCTTGTTGTTGTGCGCTTGAAGAAATCTCAGCTTAAGAAAAAGGCCTCAAGCTTGGCGACGCGAAAAGAAAAAAAGTAAAAGAAAAAGGGTCAAAAAGAGGTCGTACCCGGAATCGAACCGGGGTTGCCGGAATGTTCTGAGGGGGTTCAGAATCCGGAGTGATAACCGCTACACTATACAACCGCTTGTTGTTGGTTGGCACCCAATCTACCCCCCTTATTGTCCATACCATAAGAAATGATGGCCTCACACAACCACACCGCACGACATGACACTGCGTCGGACCAACCCTTAGAGCCCAATCAGATGCGTCGTCATAATGATATACGAGTTGGGATGGAATTTATATCCCGAGATATGGCTTCTGGTTGTCGCAATGCCGTGGGATTGCGCGCAAAGGCGATGGTAGACGGGTTACATCATGTTGTAGGGATAGCGGTTGTAAACATCATTCCCCCTCATGGTCACGATTCCGTCACTCTCCAACAACAAACCCCAAACGGACATACATCGAATTCCAGTCCAAAAGATCAACCCATCCTCAACTGGACTTTTCAGTCAAGTAACAGATTCTGCGATCACCAACGCCCGAATTCGGTTTCACCACCTGATCCCGCTGCCCGGCCCCGTGTAAATGGCCACCACCGCCACCATGGCTTTCCTTGACAAGTCCACCTCCGTCACCCCCCTTCCACACGAACAGCCCAAGAAACAATGTCCATCCGACCGCTGGAATTCCTACGATGACTGGAAAGACAACGGGCCAATGCGCACTCGTCTCGAACGCTTCATGTCCTCCATAAACAAAGATGCCCTTAAATCCCACGTTGAAAAGCTGCTGCACTCTCCCGTCAGGCTCTCCGACCGCTTCTCCGCCGGGCAGTACTGGTGCTGCTTCGAATTTTCTACACCCGACGATCGGCGCCTTGTCATTGCCCGCGTACGCCTGCCGAGGCATCCCGAGCATGAGGGTAAAGGCGACGACGCAGAAGAGGCGGAAACATATCTGGTGCAGTGCGAGGTGGCAACTATGGCTTTCCTTAGGGACAATGTGAAAACCTTTCCGTTTCCGAAGTGTTATGCGGTTGAGAAACCGGGGATTGAACAGGCGCGGAGGGTGGGGGCGTCGTATATGCTGATAAAGGGCTTCTTTGGGAATACGGTGGAACATGCAGTAGGAGATTTTTGGGATCTTCCGGTGGGTTTCGCTCCCGGTGTTGTTAAAATGGACAGAGCAAGGAGGTACTGACGATAGAGCAGGTTGAGACGCAAGAACACATCATGTCGCAATGGACGATGGCCCAAGCAGAACTCGCCTCCTTCACCTTCCCAACCATCGGTTCCATATCGGAATACTCCACGGAGAAAGGTCCAACCATTGGTCCCATAGCAACGCCATCCATCAACGGTTTTGCCGACCGCGGCCCCCTATCTTCAAGCTGGGAGTACTTCCGCAACATCGCCGACGCCAGGTTCAAAGCTACTCTTCAACGTTCATCATCCCCATCACCCTCCCACTCAACCAATCCCGATCCCGAATCCCCCTCCGAACTCGACAAATTAGGCCACTTCATCTTCCGTGACCTCGTCTACAACTCCCCCCTATTTCGCTCCCCGCCCTCTGCTCCTGCCGTCAACGGCCCCTTCCCCTTCAACCACATGGACCTCGGCATCCAAAACATCCTTGTCTCTACCTCCCCCGATTCCTCCTCCGGAAGTACTTACGACTTCCTAGCTGTCATAGACTGGGAGATGGCCCAATCTGCTCCGTGGGAGGTGTTTTACTATCCTGTTCCGTTCCCTCTGCTCTCTTCCCAGCAAGAGTCCCTTATCCTTCGTGACGAAAAGCACCCCGAATACGATAAGACGGTCAAAAAGCAGAAGGCGAGGGATCTCTACCGCCAGAAGTTCCGGGAGGCCGAGGAAAAATTGGAGGCAGAAGGCAGACCATTGCCAGCTAGCATAGCGGGTGTGTTGGAGGGGAGTAAAGCGTCGAGGTGTTTTGGGGTGGTGGAGAAACTGGGAGTGTTTAAGGGGGTGGAGAGTGAGTTGGTTAGGGAGTTGGTGAGGTTGGGGTACGGAGAAGAAGGAAAGGAAATGAGAAAGGGGGAAGTGGAAGGGTGGCTGAAGGTGAAGAGACGGGAGATGGAGGCGTTCCTCAAAAAGGGGGGAATGGTCAAGGGTTAGAATTGGAAGAAACGAGCAGAGGAGGATGTTATCTTGCAGTCGCAGGCTTGAAAACAAAGTATCTCAACCAGGCCACGGCATCACGATTCAGTTCAATTCCAAAAACAATCGAACTTGCCCTTCATTAGCTACCTTGGCGTAGTGTCCAGCACCCGCCTTCCAGCCATTCACTACAAGTGTCCCATCTGCTCAACCTCATTCCTTCGACCACTACATAGGACACAGCGGCGCAGTTGGCGAAACGCCGGTCAAAGCCGGCGAAGGGATAACTTGAAAGGGCCATTTGGCTGACAGTCTGGATTGTTACAGGTCCCCGGTCACTGGACCTGGATGGCGATGCTGGAACCACCGGAGGTGATGATGCGTTCATGTCCAAACACTTCCATACCTAGGCTCTTCAAGGGACTAATCTTGAGCTTGGAACTGACTGTAACTTTGACGAAGGGAGCGTGCATAACAGTCCAGATCGAAGTGGGACAAGTTGTCACCACGAAAACGGACGATGAAAGCGCAGGGCGGCAGGAGGGCGTTGAAGTCAGTCGATTCAACAAGATGTGGATGTGTAACATCTACTCTGGAACTGTCAATAGCTCGCCGTCCAGATACACAGCTTTGCAGATTTGGACCATGACCGCATCTCCCTCGATGAACAATCACTACCTAATATGGATGATATGCTCGATCATTGCTGCTCTCCTCGCTGTCACTTCGGATACACTCAGCGGCAAATGGAACAGAGTGTCCCTCCGCACAAATGACAACAACCAGCATGACACTGGAGTTCCTAGCCGGGGAATGGGGAAAGGTATTACCCATCACAGAGAGGAGGTAGACCGCCAGAGATTTGGTCAGATCAACTCGTCAAGTCCCTCTTGGAGAGCAGGAAGTGCTGTTTCGATGCACAGGCATTGATGGCTGACGTCATCTAGTCTGTTCCCATGCCAATGACACGCGAGTGTCAACGGTGAGGCTATTCCCAATTACCGACACCACTTGCCGAAGCTGCGGCTCTTTGGATCCGAAAAGTCAAAAGGTTATTTGGACGCGTGGACGCTCTGGGGTACCATAGCAAGATCTGGGGAAATTGGGAAATGCTACGTTGTGACGCGTCACTTGACGAGGGCAAATATTTACCCGCCATCTGTGCGTGTGTCTTGTTTTGCCGAATGTGCCTCAAGACTCTCGTTCCCTTGCACGACGATCGCTTGCACGAGGGCAACATCGCTTAGATTTTTGCTCTTGTACGGCCACTTCGATTAGGCCTTTATGCGCACGGCCTTTATGCGCACGAATTGTGGGAATGTTGTCGAGGAGGATGGTGTTGAACGAGGATGATGATATTGAACGAGGGGATTCGATGAACGCTTGGATTGGCCTCTGAGAGGTCCTTGGGATGATGATTGAGGTATAAATGGTCTGGCGCCATGCCAGTCTGGATCGAGAATCTGGGGAAAGCAAACAGTTAGCCATCATCTATCAACACCTCGACTACTTCCTTCACCTTTTTCACCATGCTGGCCAAAACACTATTCGGGCTCGCCCTCACCGCGGCCACAGGCCTCTGTGCCTCGTTGCAGCAGGTGACGAACTGGGGCAGCAACCCCACCAAAATCAAGATGTACACCTACGTCCCTGACAAGCTGGCCACAAAGCCCGCCATCATCGTAGCTGTGAGTACTTCTATCTTTCTTCCCACACAATCGCGATGCTAACGAGGTGACGACAGCTCCACGGCTGTGGCGGCACTGCCCCTGACTGGTACTCCAGGACACGCCTCCCCTCCTACGCCGACCAACTCGGCTTCATCCTCATCTACCCCGGCACACCCAACATGTCCAATTGCTGGGGGGTTAACGACCCTGCCTCTCTCACGCACGGAGCCGGTGGCGACTCGGTCGGCATCATTGCCATGGTGAACTACACCCTGGCCAAATACAAGGGCGACGCTTCGCGCGTCTATGTCATGGGCAGCTCCTCCGGTGCCATGATGACCAACGTCCTCGCTGGCACTTACCCGGAGGTCTTCGAGGCCGGAGCTGCGTACTCGGGCGTTGCCCACGCTTGTTTCGCCGGCGCTGCGTCGGCTACTCCTGCCTCAGCCAACCAGACCTGCGCCAGGGGACTGCAGCACACTCCGCAGGAATGGGGCAACTTTGTGAGGAATTCTTACCCAGGGTATACGGGACGCAGACCAAGGATGCAAATTATCCATGGTGCTGCCGATACGCTGGTGTATCCGAGGTGTGCGATGGAGGCCCTGAAGCAGTGGTCGAATGTGCTGGGGATCGAGTTTTCGAGGAATGTCAGCGGAGTGCCGAGCCAGGCGTATACGCAGATGGTGTATGGGGATGGCAGCAAATTGGTTGGGTATATGGGCGCAGGCGTGGGGCATACGGCTCCGGTGAATGAGCCGGTGATGTTGAAGTTCTTTGGGTTGATGAACTAGTTTGGTAAAGGAAGGCGGAGGGGAGAGAGTGGTTACGCACCCGAGTTGGACTGGAATCTGGAGATGATGATGACGTTGGGGAGGGAGTCGGATAATTTTTGCGATTAGTTATGGCCTGCGGCTCTGGAACTAACAGCGGAAATCAATCGATGGATCTGAAACAAAACGGTCGAATGCGCCTCCGTATTTGACTTGCTGTTTACCTAGCATGTTTGTATCTCGGAGTCCCTTGGTGTTCTGGCCAAGTTCGGTTATCAGAAGTTGGAGTCGAGTGTTCCTGCAATCCTGGCGCGTCTGTCTGCGAAATGCACTGCTGCCTGATCCGTAGCCTTGCAGCCAACGCGGGACACGTACCCTTTGTGCCTTCCGCTTTTGTTGCCCAACCGAAAAGGCTGGGCTAGGTATGCGGTGCTCAGATCACTCCGCAAAGAAGAATGAAGGAATAAGCAAAACTTTGAGTTGAGTTCGAGCCACTCAGCTCGGAATCTTCGGTCATCACTGCATCCCGTCATCTTCCATCTCTACACTGTTTACGTACGGTTATTCCGTCTCATTTCCCCACGTTGTCATCTGCCATCCTACCAGTCGCCGCGCTTCCGTCTCTTCGGAGATCTCGACCGAACAACGCCCGCCAAACGCTGCTTAGCTGTGGGTGCCACCCTGTTTAGACCGTCCCAAGACAGTCTCCAGACCGTTTACTACATAGACCGTTTACATGTGTAAACTAAACTATTACGGCCTACCAAAGTGTAGCGGTTTATAAGTATAAACAATCTAAATTTAGGTAAAGGGTCTGGGAACGGTCTGAAAAAGTAGACGGTCCAAAACTCCCTAAGTTATAGGCAGGTTGGAAAAGCACTAGGGCATTTCTTTTCGCGTTCGGTCACGGTCACGGTCACGGTCGCATTGATATATTCATTTCCAAGAACAAGATATCAATTGACTACCTATCTATCTTCGTTGCCCGGCCAAAAAAAGAAGAGAAAAAGAGAGAGAGAGAGAAGAAAAAGAGAAAGAGAGAGAGAGAGCCGGGCAGTCCATCACCAAGGCATTAGTTTTAAAATACCACTTAGCTACAACTTCCACTTGGAAGACAATAACTTAGTGAATGCGCTATCCGGTTCCCTAACTCCCTGGCTCCCTGGTTCTTTGGTTGAGGAAATGAATGACTTGGTGATTTTTGGTTGTAGGGAAGAAAAAGAAGAAGTACAAAGTTTTCGCTCCGAGGTTGGCCTTGTAGTGGTGGAAGGTAGTCATCGTCGCTCTTGCCTTCCGAAGCCTCTTGCCTTCTGGGAAATAGGCACCCAAATTCCCGGCCCAGCATCTAAGGTACCCTATAAGCCGTCTTCAGACCGTCTACTTTTCAGACCATTGGGAAAAAAACAGGCCGTTGGTCTTCCAGACGGTTGAAATTTCCAACGGCTTTTAGTCTCAACCGTAAACCTTTACAACGGTTTAATTGAAGTAGGCCGGCCTTCGACCGTCTAATGCAATAAACAGTAATGAGACCGCCTAAACAGACACCTATCTGCAGCTAAGTGTTGTCCCTTGTACTTATACTACCCAATTACTCGTCGACAAAGACCCGAAACGCAACAAGTCACGATGGCCACCGCAAAGGGATTACTGATAGAGTGCCGCGAGTGGTGCCAGTGCGATCCTGGCCGGATGTGAAGGGCGAGGAGAAATCCAGCAGTCCAGGCATCCCTCAAGTGCAGTGGAAGCCAACAAACAAATCGATTAATCTTTATGGACTCCCTGCAGGTCCTGCGACCTACCCCGGCCAAGAGAGAGCTGTGGCCAACCACGTGGCTCTGGTAACGTCTCCGTTCCCCCAACATGCATCGCCGATATTACTGCCCGCGGAGCCTCAGCTGATGATAGTGTTCTCGCAGATATTACCGAGCAATCTCCTCGGCAACTCCATTCTTCCTCTCGAGCTCAGCTCCGACTCGATCGGTTCTCCCGCCAGGCGACCTTCCTAGAACGAACAACTACGAGCTGAAACGTGCGGTTGTCTTGATTGGGACAAGCAAACATACTCGGGTCAGGTATAGCGGCCTCCTTGTGGCCCATGCCATGAATGACGGCAACCCCTAAAGAAGCTTTCTAGAAGGAATTCGGAGTTCGGACCTTGTCCCTGTAAGGGTGAGGGTGTGCAACCTTCGACACCAAGTACATCGAGGACAAGCATCGTTAGTTGCGCCAACCTACAGGATCGGATGGGCGAACGCAGCCACCACCTAACCGTCCATCTACAAGGCGACTGGTGCACCCGATCGCCCGTGTAACCGTCCGCAACCTTATCCTCGCTTTCACTCTCGACCATTGCTGCATGGAAGACCGCCGGGAAAATGCATGCTCTCGCACCATATCCTCTCTGTTGTTTCCACCTTCTATCAGCCCGTCAACCGTTGATGCGCAACCCGATCACTCGGCAATTCCCGAGCCCGTTCTTGAGGCCGAGATTACTGATCTACCTATCAGGTACCGTTCCTTAGGTTGATACTGACTCTCTGCGGACGTACGCTCTTGCTGCTCTGGCTATCTTTCATCCCTCGCCTTTGCTCTCCTAAACCCGCTAACACATCCCGTTACTGCCCAGGACCTGGCCGCGCTACAACAGACCCAACAACCCGACTTTTTACACTTCGGCAACCCCTTTTTGCCAAATATGCAAAACACAACGGTTGATATTACCAGTTCAACTGTCCCACAATACCCTTGTCATCCTCCCTAGACGGTACGTTACCGTACGTATCTGAGGTCTGCCGTCGAACATCGCCGCTCCGTCTGCATTTGGCTATCAGTTAACTCCTACGAGGACGAACACCCCAGTTCAGCATCTCACAATGAACAATCCATACCATGAGCTTACGGCCTTTGTCAAAGAATGCGACCGGGTCGCCATGTGGCATGTGGGTACTCTTCGGGGACCAACATGGGGATGAACACAGGTATATGATGGTACAGGTCCCCGAAGAGGAACTACATCCCCGAAGAACAACACCACCCTCTCGGTCTCAAGCGAAATAAACATCCCAGTCCTCCTTATACTCGTCTATTATGTCCTCTTCTGGAACCTCATCCTCCAAAGCTTCTCCTGGGGGCACAAGGATTGGGCGGCCACCTCAGTGGACCGTGTCGAGGTCACGGAAGTTGGCCAGACTGTATGTCTACACAACCTTGTCTATCGGAAGGATCATTAAGGTTCTTGAGGATGATCTCTTCGCTCCCCGGTATGTGATAAAGCACCGCTCCCTGGCAAGTCAACGGTGGCTGACCGGTCTCCAGAAAAAACTCGGCTCAAAAGACAGTGCATAAAATGCTCGACAACGACCCCCGTTATCTGCGCCCGGAGTCACGAGTTGAGATGGATCAACGCATCGACTGTCTGTCAAAGTCTACCATTCGCAAGCGAACACCAGGCCATATCATTGGCCGACCACAGCCTAGGGAGGTCCAACGAAGGATATCCGACTGTTCGACGCTATACGCCGAAAAGGTGTGCTCATTACTCGACAACTTCACGATAGCGAGTGGGTCAGACCTCGAAGAGATACAACGACACCCTTGGTGGGCCGAGTCTTGCGAGCTTCCAGAGACGGACATTGGCACCTTCGAGGAGTCCCCCACACTGGGCTTTGCGGTACCAGGGGATTTCCTGACTGCCCATACCCTGAACTGTGCTGAAGTTCCAGCACCCGGGCATGGTAGCGGAACTTGTTGGTGCGCAATCGTGGCGGAAACGACAAGAGAAGAAGGCTCATGGCTGATACCAACCGGAGAGATACGGGATGAAGTTAGCGACCTGGTCAGGAATCCATCACCGGAGGTATGCCAGTTGCATGACCCCTTTGGCAACACCCTACTTCACTTGTTTGCTGCCAAAAGCGGCTGTCAAGAGCAGCTATTTCGGCTCGTACCATACGCCGGCGGTGCCTTAGGCCTTACCAACACTGCAAACCAGACGTTTCTTCATGTCTTGAGCCTCGAATGGTTCACCAATGTCCCAAGCGTCCTGTCTTCTCTGCGAAGACTTCTTGACCTCGTTCGTCACTCTAACCAGGACATCTTCCATATCACCGATGTCTATGGTCGCACCTTCTTCCACCGGGCAGCATCCCTGGTGGCAAACCGGGAGGTTTTGACCGATGTCCTAGCATACTGCAATCCCGCAATTCCACTATCTCGAGATGCATTCGGCTTCGATCCAGTCGCCAATGTCCAGCCGGGCGCGGCCATTCTACAACCTGGAACTCCCATATACGGTAGCCCCGTCTCCTATTCTCCACACGAACTCCCTAACCGATCAAGCACACCCTCCAGTATCCCCTCCCCCAGCGTCAGCGTCGCTGGAGTACCCTCTCCAGCAGACGAGGGCCCCTTCCTAGCCTACCACGCCCGCCTCATCAAAATCATCCACTCAGCCTATTCCAACCCCATCGCCGAGGACTCCGAAGGCCGTAACGGCTTGCACTGTCTGGCAGAAGCCATCATCAACCAACAAAGCATGGACGAGCAACGTTCTGCCTTATCATCCACGTCCAGTAGCCGTCCCCAAAAGCGCAGCAGACACTCGTCACTCTCATCGGAATTCACCCCTATCCACGTCATTCAATCCCCTGGTCCCACTTCCCACCCCTCTCCTATTACAAGTACTTTCGGGGTAGTGACAGAAAAGGAAAATCCCCTTCCATCTCGCCTCCGCCACTTACACTCCCTCCTCCACCCTTCCTCTGGGCACAGCGCCGTAGGCATAAACCCAAACGCATATGACAAATCAGGCACCACTCCCCTTATGGCCTTCATTCAGCATATTCCTGATCACGAAGACGATAAGTCTCGCACTCTCCAAAGCATCCTCGAAACCCTAATAAGAGGCGGAGCAAACATTGAAGCGAGGAACAGAAGAGGAGAAACGCCCTTGTTAATGGCGGCGAGGTTGGGAAGGAAAACTGCTATAAGTGTGTTAATGGAGCAGGGGGCTAACGTGCGGGTGAGAGACAAGTGGGGGAGGGGGATTCTGGAGGTTCTGGACTGGGGGGTCTTGGGATGTAATGGTTCCGTTAATAAAGCCCAGGGAGAGAAGTTAACTGGAAGAGAAGAGGGGATAAAGGAGAGAGAGGAGTTGGCGCTTTATGCTAGGTTGGAGGCTTGTAGTGGTTTGTTAACGGGACGGAGGGATTGGGGAGTTGGGTACATGAGGGAGAAGGAAGAGGAAGGGATGGGCGTGGTGGGAGAGTGGAGGATAAAAGGACAGGCTGCTGTGGAGGAAATGGAGATGTGAAGTGGTAGATGATGGGTGGGATTGATATATGGCGGGCATTGGAATGGATCAAGACATAAGATATCGACAGCAAGCATGGGAAGGAAATTTGGCATAGTACTGGCTTCAGCATTAATATAGACTTCATTCACATAGCAGGCGGGAGACAGACTACGGATAAATACATATCAAGTTCATTATTCCCAAAATAATCACCTCTTCGGCTTACCGGTTAGGACACCACTACCGATTTGGGGTCTTTCTATAACATGGCACTCTGTGGGATGTATGCACATCTTATATGTAACAGCGGGTATGTGGAATTGAGACAATACAGAGCATGCATGGTACAATATGTCCGACTGTCGTGCAATGCTGAGCAATGGCAAGCCGTGATCGCATTACACCGCACTTTACTGTGTGAGCACCACGGGAGCAGTGAGCACGACGGAAATTCTCCGCATGAGGGGGGTTGGAGATTTGGAGAAGCAGGTACAACGAGTACCCAAAGAAATCGTGGAAGTACCTCTGCCTTTTCACGGGCGAAAGCAAAGGAGATTCCGAACTGACAACGTGATATTCGAGAAGTTTAGGTTTATCTGAAAGCTGTCTTTCTATCCATCTGGTGTATCTCCCGTCATCATTTCATCCAAGAATTCATCCATACTATACTCAAAGGTCATGCAGCTCCCGTCGCTCGCTGCATTATGCCGAGGAGATGATGTACCTTTTGGGGTACGTCGTGTACATCGTTAACCCCTGCATTAATCGCTTGGCGTTGCGTTCTCCAACTCCTTCTCCAACTCTCCTCCAACTTCACCGAGGGTAGCAGGCGCAGGCACCGCGCCGTTGATGATTACCAGGATGGACACCTCTGTGCAAAGGCAGAATGAGAGTCTGTCGGTGCCAGTAACTGTGATTACAGCAAAGAAAACGCGGCGTGTAGTGTCTTGATGGTGACCGTTGTCCATGGTCTTGTCGGGCCCAACGACCTAGGTGTGACATGCGACCCGCGTGTCGTGCGGGGTTGGTGGATTGGATGAAGTGAAATTTAACGAGCAGATGGGGAAAAGAGATGTGCCAAATGTTGCAGAAAGGAAGCGATAGATCGTCGTTGGATGTGTGTAGCATAGATGGCGTGAAATGGGACGTAAAGAGTAGGGTTGCTAAATGGGCATAGTAGCCTTCGTGTATCATAGTTGTGGCTGTGATCGAGATGATAACAAAGGAAAGGGTTTTCCGAGTGTGTGGTGGAGGAAAGAAATATGAGCGGTGCTTGGTGACAAGCGGCAACGGAATGATACCGGTAGCATCGTGATGGAAGTCGTACGAATGGAAGCACATGTGTTTCTGGGCTTTTGCGATTTGGGGTTTTGGGGATCATCCCGAATTAACGAAATGTCTGGGCCTGACGGGACGCCGTTGTAACGATCGAGAACGTTTCTCCAATTAATGGAGCCCTGGTCCTGGCGTGGTGTAAGTGCTTGAGCGATGGTTTTCCTATTTAGGATGCAAGCTCAAAACTTGATTGGTTGTAATTTCGAGATTTGATTTGTGGGGCGCTGTGTGAACGGTTGTGGGGTAACGAATGAACCCGTGGATGAATCCTCGTTTTGAAGATGACGGGATGAAAGGAACCATAAATCGACGCCCCTGTAACAAGTGGTATAGACAACTACTTGTTGAGATTGAAGGTATTGTCGAACTGATGGATGGCTTCGGCAGCGCGAGTCTGATGGAAAGCAATGCGTGCTGCCTCGTCTCTGTTGGCGGTAGCGGTATTGGTGCTGTCTTGGAAGCGAGCATAGGCATTGCTGTCATCTAAGACGTGTTGCGCCTCAAACATCGCTAGGCGTTGGTGCTGGAGAGAGCCATCGTCAAAGATTTTGACATGGCTATGTCCTGAAGCAGCAGACTCTAGCTGAGACGCGTTGGACAGTCCGAAGGTTCTCGTCTTGGTGGGCGTTAAGCCGCTCTGTGAAAGAGCCGCTCGGTTGCTAATACAAGATGATGTTAGATTAGAGGAACGCATAATATTGCCTTATCTTACAGCAGTGTCCTTGTGTGCATACCTAGGGTGGTTAGCGGAAGAGTGAGCATCGGCCTTCCTTGTTGTCGAGGTCGGAAGGGGTGACGAACTACTGTTATTGTGGGACGGCATGGTGACTCCGAGCTGTGGTTGAAACAACGAGGGTAGAGTAGAAGCCGGGACGGAGGCAGGCCTTGATGAAGGTATATACGTGAATGATGGAAGCAAGAAAGTGGAATTGAAGTGGAAGGTGGAATGACTGTTGCTCCTACGAGCCCTAAGAGAAGGAAAGGGTGTCGGGATATATATATGCTGTGTCGGCATAACAAAATGTCGTAGTCACCGACAACATGCGACCAGGTGTCTCGCTTGTGCCACAGGGGGGGGGGATTATGTGGGCGGAAGAGGTTTATGTGGGCGGAAGGGGTTTGTGGCCTCCATGTCGACAATATATGATGGAGACCTAAATGAAAGACCGTCATACTCATGATGTCAAGTCAACCTGGCCCTCATGGACTTTTGATGCCTGTAGAAGTCCTCTTTCCACGGTAGACATCAAGCGATGAGGGAACGACGACAAGAGAGCGACGAGAGAGGATACAGCGGAATGTTGGTACCACGATGATTTAGCGGGATGGATGAAAGATGGTGGGACTAAGAAAATCAACGTTGGTGATGGTTGCTTGGAGACTTTTGGAGGGAGGAGCATCAGTCCAATTGGCTACCCGCTGGGGTTTCGGCGGAGATTTCAGGTTCTTCTTGGCCCTGCTGTCCAAACCGTTGTCGCTTCCTGCCGTGTTTCTAAAGCTATACCGCTCTGGGACGGACGTGGAAGTACCCTGTACCGTACATTAATGTGTTTTGGCGGTGTTGATGGTAGGCGCGGGAGTGAGGTGGCCGGCCCAATAAACAACGGCGGAACTGCCCACTTGTAAGTAGAAGGTACCTCAGCTTTGTCACAATCGAAGGTTGAAAGTATCAATTGTAATTGTGGTAAAAACGACAGGGGAAAATGGAGGCAACGAATTGTGAGGAAGAAGAGGGTGGAAGTCGGGTTGGGAGAGACATGAAGTCCAGGCACGACCGGAGGGGTCCTAGTAGAAATTGTTTTGACCGGACGTCGGGTGAAGGCGACTTGGGCAGAAGGAAGGCGGTGACCACCTCCGAGTAAGTGAAGGTCGCTTTTGATGGTGGGTGCCGACCGGCAGGGCGAAACTGGATCCCGGAGCCGCGAGAATACACTTCACTTTGACTGGCGACCCGAGGAAGAAGGTTCGTCAGCTGGCTTTGGGCTAAGGCAGACACGTTCGACGAGCAAAGCACCTCCCATCAACATTGCATTCGGGATCGGGCAGGCAGGCGGCTGGAAGAGCCTCACATTGTCCCTGCACACACTTCCATTGCACTTGCAGAGGTTTCAGACTTCGACATCTGGTCTGCTAGCCCAGTACTTTGCGATCTTGGGCCGCGGTAAGAAGCTTTTCTAACCTCAACTTACCAACTGGAAGGAGGACTGTAAAAGGTGCTCTTTCCAAGTACCGAGCGAACCGACTTTTAGGGATTGGGCTGTAAATCCTCACCCTGTATTCAGTCCGGTTCTTGGCCAGGACGGGAGCAGGAAACCCGAGTGGGACTGGACTTATTGTTTCTGGACTGTCCAGTCGGGTACGTACCTCCTAGGAGGCGTACCTTTTGGCCACCTGGTTCGCGAACCACTACCTATGGGGTTGGGGCTCTGCGGGCAGTTGCCTTGCGCCCAGTTTTGCAGCGTTATTATTGCCTTGTCGACATCAAATGGTGCGTAAAGTTCGGGCCCTCCAACAAGAGCAAGATATACAAGTCTTCAAATCCTCCCTTCAATTTCCTCGGCATTTCTTCCCACATCACGCCCTCAGCTACAGAGCTTCTGCCAGCTCAACTACGGATGCTCGAGGAAATGTAGGAAAAAGCATTCCTATTGAGCTTTGTAGGGAGATACTGTAGGTGACTCACCTTTTTATGAAGATTGACATTCGCTGACATACATCATTTTCGATTCCAGCCTGACCTTCGCATGCAGTCCGTGATTGAGGCACGTGGTACCGATATCACCGGGACGGCAACACGGCCAATCTCGGGCAATCGGTTGCCAGGCTGCCCCCGTATCAAGGAACCTCATCACGCGGCCACGTTGATACCCCTATGTTGCTTCGAGAGGTCGGGACGTTGAGCATCTGCGCCGAGCGCCGCATCCACGGACGATAGCTAAGGGTTGAGCCAGGAAGCCGCGGGATTCATTAACGTCGAAAAGCAACTAAAGCCAATTTCTATCGGGCGGCAGTTACTAAAGGAAGAGATTTCCATATGTCGATGTACGACATCAACGAGATCACTACATACGCCTTGCTCCACCACGACTTCGAATGGACGGCAGGAATACCAGGTCTTGGATTGACCTCGACCTATGTGCGAGTTGAACATCGAGGAGAATATTCAAGGCCTGAGGACTAAGGGAGCATACTTGCCAATCGGTCGGTCTATCCAGATTCAAGGCTTCGGTTTCGGATCAGTCTCAGACCAGAGACTCGAAGATCGCACCGATACCGATTCACTGTTTAGAGGTACCCTTCTCCTCATCCATCTTCTGCCGTTTCGCCGCCTCCTCGCGCTCGTGCAGCTCCTCTACCAGTTTTCTCCGACGCGCCGTCATGGCGTCCAGCGTCGCCTTCTTCTGCAGGATGGCGCGCATGCCGTTGTCGTAGGCGGAGCGCGCCTCGGCGTGGAGCAGCACGTTTGAAATCTATATTTCGTCTTTTCTTGTCCATTGCAGTTGCCTGCCCCTGTGAAAGGTGTCTCACGAGTGTAAACGCTGGACGACGTGATGAAGAACAGCTTGATTGATGGTAAAGGTACTCGATGCCCTTCGTGGTAGCAGTCCTCTGAGCATAATCGAACACATTGCAGACAAGCGATTGGAGTTCGTTAGAGCTGTCGGACTTAGTGGTCGTCCTAAAACACGCCCAGTCGAACCCCTGCTCAGTCCGAAGATATGTCGATTGAGTTCCTCAGACAGCCCGAGACACGCGCTATTTCCCAGGAGCAGCTTGTCACCGAGGTCAAAGGCATCTATGCTGGTCTTGTTATGGTCGAGAGCAAATGTATCGAGGTCGACAACGCCCAGAATGCCGAGACCGATCCCGCTAACAAGCCCATCAACCATGAGCAATGGCAGGCCTTGATCGCCCTGCACCGCACTTTGCTTTACGAGCATCACGATTTCTTCCTGGCTTCTCAACATCCATCTGCGAGTCCGGCCTTAAGACGAGTCCTTGGTTGAAACCTAACTGACAAGGGTCACCAAATACATTGGTCAACCGCATCGAGCAGTAGCCGAGACCGGAAGCACATGTTTAGGTCTGGCACCTTGCTAACTTGACGTCGATACACTAGGGCCGAAGCGTCAGTGAATTGGGTGGATGTTGACAGTCTTTGTGCGACACAGAGCGAGAGGATGGGAAAAGAGATAGAGAACAAGATGGAGAAACAAATGAGAGAAAAAGAGATGATGAGATAGACACAGCACCGTGATTTTCGTAACGAAGCTTCCCCAAACCACCTCCACACACGGCCGCCCGCGAAGGGCAAGTTCAGCCCGGAGGACAGCGTCGATGTGCTGAAGCCCGTCTCGCCCTCGGAGGCGGAGAAGAAGGAGGCTGCTGCTAAGGACCAGGTCCCGCCGCTGGCGGCCCGCGTCTTCGGCACCTACACCTTCACCGATACCGATTCACTCCGACCCCATATACCGTCAAAGTCTGCATGGTGGTACCCTAAGAATCGCGAGGGCAGTTCTCGAGATCAGGCCATCAGAAAGCACCAGTTCTTTTGGGTTTTGGGACATGGATCAGATGTCTCGGAAGCCTCGACCGCTCCGGAAAGATTGTTCACTGAGCCTTCCACACCTGAGATGCGCACACAGCCCCCAGTGCCGGAAGGAGTGACGATAGGCAGCTTCCTTCCATGGCTGCCGAGAAGTTACAGAGTCGAGGATGCAACGATTCTTTGGTCGACAACGAAACAACTTCTCGCGAGATCCCCAGGCCCACTGTGTCAAACAACAGCGAGTAGCTTTCCGGATCCATGCCTGACCGGACCACCATGCACCGCGGCAACGGCCACGACCACAACAACGGCATCACCACAAGACCACCCGAACCGTGCACCTATCCCAATGCCTACCTAGGCCGCGCTTGCTCCGGTCCGAAACTACCCATCCACCCATTCGACCGTCTTACATGTCCCGAATCCCAACCAGTACATCCATATTCTTGTGCCGCCTGAGTACCTAGTCTTCTCGCCATCGCCCTCTCGGGCCCTACCCAAGCTCCAGTAACAGCACAAGGACTCGGGACAGGACGGAAAAGGAACAAGGACAGGAACCGGTCAGGTGGAGGGACAACGATGCCTCTAGGGACAGAGGCAGGCGACACCATTAACCGCCGCTACCGCGATTGTCACCGCCCACGCCACGGCATACCGGATACCACTTCCGTATCGCCGCTGTCGTTATCGCGAGCCACTCAACAGCCGTCGTCATTTCCAGCCCGTCATCTACCCGCCCTCCAGACTCGAGTCTCGACTTCGGCTGCAATCAGTGTCTTGATCACCACCAGGCCGTCAAAGCTCGACACTCGCAATTATTTCCTTCCCCTGGGCACCTAGATTTGGGCTTCGCGTCTCTCACTGCCCGTAGGTGTCCGACGGGACCTTGGTGTGGCTCCCTCTGAATCACGATATTTGGCTCGATCCCGTCTCCAACCCGGCTTCCAGTTCGATCTCGGCCTCAACTCAACCTTGCTCTCGAGAGAAACCCCAAGGCCTTTCTACAGAGGTACTCCTGTGTGGAGTTCTTCCTCGCTTTCGATGGGTTCTGCTCGGTAGTGTGGCCGAGCAGGTCTCGTGGTGAGTCTCAGTCCATCTTTCTTCTCCTTGCCATCCAGTGTCCGAGTATCATGAGTGCTACACGAGGACGAATTCCCGTATCGGTACATCCCTCGCCCTCAAAACCTCAGGACTCATTCTGGGGTCATGAGTGATGATATCCCCCGTTACTTGATTCCTGAACCGTTGAAACACCGCCGAATCATCGTGCCCTGCACAGATACCATCCTTGCGAATGACCCGCCAAGGAGTGGGAAGCGGGCCGAGGAGGGAGAGGGAATCGTGGAGACCGTAGATGACGACGGGGCCTACGAAGAGGTATTTGTCGCTGGTGCTGGCTACTGCTAAAGGTGAAGTTGAAGGTCCTGAGAGTGGTTGCAATGGGGGTCGAGAGGGAGACCGAGGCAATGGGCGCAAGACGACCGGCGTGTCGAAACCTAGGAACACACAGATGATATCCCCCTCCTGAACGTCCGGCGGACCAATGCCGATGAAACCCTCGTGAGTTGTAACGTAGCGGCGGTGCCAGAGGCGAGTTTCGAGGTCTGCTTCGTACCAGTTGCTGGATTTGTTGGTTTCGCAGTCCGTGATTGCGGAAGGTTTTGGGGATGGAAGTTGCGCGCGAGGACCAAAAAAGGCATGCGCGGAATCCTGCCACAGCCAGCTTTCCAGAGTCGGATACCACACCACGTCCGTAAGACGTTGATGGAGGTAGTTGCAGCATACCGTCTTCGAAAAGGCCGTTTTGAAGGGTTCGCCGGTTACGTAAGTTGATCCCTCATTCTCAGCAAGTTCCCTGGCCGTATGGTCTCTTACTGCTCGTAGCAACTCTTTCGACTTTTTCGGGAACGGATCTCTAATCGTCTTGATGGTGGTACACCTCACTCCCATCACTGTGAGCACGTTCGGGCTTTCGGGGACAAGTTTGGTGTAGCAGCGAGAAAACCCCGCCGCAAACTGATGCTTCACGATTGTAGGCACGCTCAAATCACTCAGGTCCAGCATCCAACTCGGCGACTTCTTTAACGTCTCTGACTTGTTCAGGTAACATTTTTGCAACAGCCCCAAGCGTTTTGCGTGCCCTGAATAGGCAAGGAACGTCTCCCTGTACACTTGGTACACGCTCTTGCTGTAATCCGGCCTCAATTTCTCCTTAAACACCGGGCTAAGCAAGCCGTGGAGACCCAAAACGCGATCGCGCATGTCTGCATACCCTGATTTGCCGAGGTAGAGGAGTACATCCGATAGCGGTGTTCGACCATTCTCAGGGCGAACAAGGTCTAGTAGAAGTAAGGACCGTGGGAGACAGGGGTGTAGGGATGATTTGATGTAGAGGTTGGCGATGGCACTGCGGAAGTGGGTGAAGGAGGTTTCGCTTCTCCCGCAGCGAATGATGGTATTTGAGGGTTTGGCAAGACGAATTTCTTGAACGATCCATTGGCGGGTGAACCAGGGGCGGCTCAGGAGTTTCTTGATGGCCAGCCAGGTTTTGGCGCTGTAGGTAAGACGATCTCCTTGCGATACCAGGTTGACTCAGTGGCCTCCGGTGCGCGGAAAATGCGTCGATCTAAAGTGAGGAAGTACTGCCCCCCTGGGTCCCCCGGAGTCTCCAAGGCATGCCCGCTGTCGTGCGTACTTTCTCCTAACCAGAATATGACTCTCTCTGCGAGTCTGAAGATGTCGCTCATGCGGTGAACCTGGGCGTTGCCCTCGAGAATGTGGAGTTGGTTGATGCACAGGGCGTCAATCCAGAGAATGCGGTGATGATCTCGATGTCGTAGTTGGCGCATAGCTGCTGCGAGGTTTATCCCGATGAGAAGGTGCGTGTAGCCGGAAGGAATCGGTCCCTTGAACTTTTTCGCACGGATGGGAGCGGGAGTATCTCGGGTGTCGGTCCAGACGAAGGTCACCTCTGGCTTCGCGCTAGAGCCCCAGGTATACTTGTACGACAGGGCCTCATACCTTGGCTCTGCTCTCATGATATGACCATCATCATCGGATTCGGACTTCACGTATCCGGAAGGATCCATCAAAGAATCTGGATGAGACCAAGACGTTCGGGAGAGGCGCTCTTCCCTCCTGCCATGGTCCACGCGTCCGAAGATGTACCGGTTGTCCCAGGTTTCGCCCACTGTCCAGCCTGGAGGTAAGGTTGCGGTGACTTCTTCCAGTGTCATGCGAGTTTGGGGTGTGGGATTGAAGTTGGAGAGTCGCAGCATGGCGCAAGAAATACGGATGACGATATCATCTTTGAAATCACCTGGGAATAGGGTCACGGTCCGAATATCTCCTGGGGTTTGCAGCTTCTGGTAGGTGTACAGTTGGCCCAGAGGCTGGGGCTCAGGTGGTGTGATAGCAAAGGGCATGGACCGACGTAAATGCCCGGTAGCACAATCATGAAGTACGCCAGCTTCGGTTGAAAGTGAGAGCGATGAAGTGAAGGGGGGACCATGGCGTGAAGTACTTTGTCAATCCCCTGCTCACCAAGGGCAGTCACGACACCTTTCGCCCGCATGCGACATTGCGAGACCTCCGTGATGTGACGGAACGCAGTTGAAGATTGCTGTCACTGAGTGTCAGAGAAGAAGGTGCGCTGATAGGCTATCTAATGAAAGGAGCTCGTCGGTCGGAAGGGGCGTAGGGCTGACCTACCTGGCATCAATGTCTTCAGCTGCCCCGCACGTCATCCAGGGAGAGCGGCGCGACAGTCCTGTGATGACTTCCATCGCCAGCTTGGAGGGAGACTGGATATTGGGATTGAAGCTCAAAAGAATCCTGGCGCAAGGCAAATTCCGCGCAACGTCAACAGCATGAGGCTCATGCTGGCTCATGGTGTCACGACATTTTGGACTGAGGCTTCATCTTCAAGAGGTTCCTCCGAGCTCAAGGGGAGATCAGGAAAGAAAAGGAATTGAGAAAGTGTGTCCGATGATCACTGGTCCGTGATAGAATGTCACATATCCGAACAGGTCTGCGCCGCTTTCATGCCGCGAACCAGCCCCGATGTGCAGCGTGCTTTCTCCAATCTTTCCAAGCCTAGAGATTCCGACAGTGCCCAACGTGACACTTCTAGCCCTAACCCTGGTTAGATCTCTTGACCTCTTGGCAATACCGCTGGTGCAAGGTGCGCCCTTGCAGTGATCTTGGGCTGGAAAATGCCACGGTAACTTTGCGGCACGGATTGCCAGTTTTCGAGGGATCATTCCTGCGCCGCCGATATACAGCTTTCACGCGCATGATATAATAGCTGGCAGATATGGAAGTTCTAGAACGACTTCTTCTAGAGCAGAGGTGAGAACTCCAATGTTGCACGACTCATTAACAAGGATACCGCCTGTTTCCTCAACTCGAATGGGCAATTGGTCTAGTGGTATGATTTCCGCTTCGCATGTCGACTTGTCGAGTGACATTGTGGAAGGTCACCGGTTCAATCCCGGTATTGTCCAATTCTTTTTTTTTCGTTTTCCGTCAACTCAACCGTTGACATCGTGATCTTTTTGCAATTATCTTCGTCAGAATCTCTTGCAGACAGGATGGAAATTGTTTTCATCGTTCGTGAATGCTCTTTCTACGGTTACGCTGAGGAAGGCTGATCATGCCAAACGTCACTGTAAAATGTGGGGGGTGTGAACTTCCACACATCGTGAAAACTGTTTTTGTCACGAACAGCATTCAATTCTCCAGCGCAACTTAAACGCAACCACTCTCACTAGTACACAAATCACCTTCCCGCCGACCATAAAACTCGATATTGCTGAGATGGCTCGCTCCGAAGAGGCACAAGCCTTCTTCCATGCCGTCTACAGCGCCGTGCAAGAGATTCCGCATGGCAAAGTCACCAGCTACGGCCACATTGCAAAGCTGGTCGGGACTCGTATGCAACCATCTCCCACACATATCGGTTCACCAGACGAACCTCATCCCGATATCATCGATGTTTGTCTCCGTATCATATGTAGAAATGCTGACAAACAAACAGCCCAACGTCCCCGGCAAGTAGGCGTCTGCCTCAAACACCTCCCCGTTGACCCGTCAGCTCGGTTCAACCATGAGAACGTACCCTGGCAGAGAGTGATCAATGCCAAGGGGGTTATTTCTCCGCGGTATGTGTACTTGCAACGGCAGCTCGAACATCGGTTCGAAGAAAAAACGCTTGATGAATTCCATGTAGACCGTCATTGTAATGGATCAAACACTGACAACCCATTCTGTTCTAAGATCTCAGCCGGAAGGGTCACGCAGCCAAGCGGCGGCATTGGAGGCCGAAGGCGTGGTTGTTACAACGGGGGCGCTGGGAGAGCTCATGGTTGACTTCGCAGAGTATGGATGGTTCCCAAGGATATTGCCGTCGGAGGAAGGAGATGGGCTGGAGTCTGTTGACAGCGAGGAAGGTGAAAGCGATGAGGAATAGTAACGAGGGACATCATCGTCAAGAGGTTCGAAGAGCATGGTCACCACAAATATGCAATATCACAAGTTTACGAAGAGCGATGAGAGATGGTTATAATGAAGATCAAGTGTCATTGATAGCTATTTGCAATGCACCAAAGTGACGATGACTTCGCATATTTCAGCGAGCCTCGAGGGGCGCCAGTTCAAGATATCCTGTCTTTTGAGATCCGTTAGCAACATAGCTCGCATCAAAAGAATGATAACATGAACACTTGTGATGATGCTTTCTCAGATAGCGGTTGGACAAGTTTTTCCACATAGTGTTTCGGTACAGGTCTGTGAACATTGTTTTTCTCATCATAAAAAGCGGGGAGGGTGTGGCGCCGAAGAAAAAAAAGAGAAGGAACATACCCATTGGTGACACCGATCAATCAACCCGTCGCCTTTTGGCAGCGGGTTTGAAGAACGCATCCATCGTCTTCTGTTTACTGTCAAACTTGGCACTGCCAATCCCGCCTCTTGTCCTTTTCACGCCTTGGAGGTGGTCAAGAGCGTTGACCCGGACGACAGCCAACCTGACAGCGGACTTCTCGGTCTCCTCAGACGAAGGGATGACATCCACATTCATCTCGAGGTATCCGGTGTTGCTCCAAGCAGCGAGGAACTCTGACCTTCCGGCAACAGAGCCCGACGACGACTTGACATTGGCAAGCCTCGTCATCTCTTCTGGGGCATAACGCACCAAAAGCGATCTCAAGAGCGAGTTGAGTATCAAGCCATGCGCGACAACCACGACGGAGGTGTTTGTCTTGCAATTGTCACCATTGGATGTACTGTCCAGCAGCGGACCCAGGTGGGCTTGTATGAAGGCGGTGGCTCGCGCGCGCATCTCGTCGTGCGTTTCAGCATCGGGATGCGGCGTGCCAAATCGCTTCCCCTCGGCGGATCGGAAATCGCGTTCGCGGAGCTCGACAACTTGGACCAGTTGGAGCTCGGGACGGTCCGAGTCTTCCTTCTCCGTTGCCTTTTCCACCTGGGCATCGACAATGGCCTGGGCAGTATTGACTGCGCGTTGCAGATCGGAAGAGAAGATGTGCGTGACAGGACCGATTGAGGACGACCGCGAGGCAAAGTGGGAGGCTAGACGACGTGCCTGCAAAACACCGTGGGTGGTGAGGGGGGAATCGCGGAGGCCTGCGCTGGGGAATGTTAGCCCAAGTCCAGAAGACATGGTGTATCGAATGGAACGTACTATAAACCGGCCACGTTGTCGACGGTCTCTCCGTGTCGAACGAGGAAGAGCCGCATGTTGTTGAAAGATGAAGGACGAAACGAAGGACAGCATATGCCAATCGTCTCAGTTGTCCATGTTCAGGTGGCGGATGAGGAATTCATCATCGCCGGAATGGGATTAGCAAACCGCGGGAAGCAGTTGCTGTCAATCGCCCAAGTGAATGGTGATTTGTGGAAGGGAAAAGGGAAGAGAATTCCAAGAAAAAGCGGCAGAAAAAGAAAATTTAAAAGGGCACAGCTCAAGTGGGGTACAGAATGCCGCTGTCCAGGGTCCTCCCCGCCTGGAACAGTCCATTAACTCCACCGGCGGTACTGATAAGGAACCGATAAGGAATCAATTTCCCAAAAAATTCTGGACCGCTGAAGCTCCAGGCGAAGGGTCGAGGAACACAGAGGGACCGGCTTCCACTCTTGCGACTTGCATCTCGACAATCGATACCGCCAAGATGCCCAAGAGAAAGGTCGCCGCCCTCGAAAAGGTCGATGCTGACCTGGTCAGCTTGCAGTACAAGATCAGGAGAGATCCCAAGTAAGTTGTTCTTGTTCTTGTCGTCGCCAATTGCTGCCATCATCGGTCGCATTGTTTACTAACACGGCCTCCTCCTCCAGATCCTATGCCCAAGAGTTCTACGACCAGTGGCTCGCATACGACGCCCAACGACAAATCTTCATCTCGTCTCCCTCCTCTGCTTCCAGCGAAGACAACAAGAAATTCCACGACCTCGTTGACCTCGTCGCCCACGTCGCCGATCTCTACCCCGATGTCACCGCCCCCTACTTCGACCACCTCAAGGAACTCTTGACCCAACACCATGCCGTCCTTAACCCCGATCTCCGTGAAAAGGTCGTTGGCAGCTTGTCTCTCCTCCGTCGCAAGGATGTCATCGACTCGACCAGCCTGCTCACCACCCTCTTCCCCATCCTGATCTCGACTCCCTCCAAGTCCCTCCGCTCCCTCCTCTACACCAAGATCATCAGCGACCTGCGCGAGTCCAACTCCAAGGCCACCAACCACAAGCTCAACCGCACCATCCAGACCGTCCTGCACAACCTTGTCACCTCGGACCGCACTTCGACCAAGGGCATGTGGGCCTGCCGCATCACCCGCGAGCTGTGGCGCCGCCAGATCTGGACCGACGCCCGGCCCTGCGACGTCATGAAGGAGGCTTGTTTATCCGACAACGAGAAGGTCGTCGTCGGTGGTGTCCGCTTCTTTTTGGGCGGCGACAAGGAGCGCGAGGAGATGGAGGATGACTCTAGTGACGAGGAGATTGACATTAAGAAGGTCAAGCATCAGGGCACTATCAACAAGAAGACCAAGAAGCGCCAAAGGGCCACGGAGAAGGCCATGGAGAAGATCAAGAAGCAGGAGCGCAAGAAGCATGCCCCTCATCCGCTCAACTTTTCGGCTCTCCACCTCATCCACGATCCCCAGGGCTTCGCCGAGCAGCTTTTCCAGAAACATCTGCAAAATACCAAGTGCAAGTTCTCCCTGGATAACAAGCTGCTGGTCCTCCAACTCGTCACCCGTCTGGTCGGTCTGCACAAGCTCACCATCATTTCCTTGTATCCGTGGTTCACCAAGTACCTCACGCCCAAGCAACCGTCCGTCACTTCGTTCCTCGCCTCTTTGGCGCAGGCGACACACAACCACGTCCCTCCCGACGCCATCGAGCCTCTCGTTATCAAGATTGCCAATGAGTTCGTCTCTGAGGCTTCCGCCGCCGAAGTCGCTTCTGCCGGTATCAACTCTATCCGCGAAGTCGCTCTGCGCCAACCGCTCTGCATGAGCGAGACCCTCCTCCAAGATCTAGTCATGTACCAAAAGTCCAAGGACAAGGGCGTAGTAATGGCCGCCAAGGGTCTCCAGTCTCTTTACCGTGAAGTCTACCCCGAGCTGCTGCAGAAGAAGTTCCGCGGCAAGGAGGCGACCATGGGATTGAAGTCGGGCGAGGTCAAGAGGCTCAAGTTTGGTGAAGAGCAAGTGGAGAGTGGTATTGAGGGTATCGAGCTTCTCGAGAAGTACAAGGAGGAGCAGAGACTCAAGAAACTCGCTGAGAAGGGTGAGGACGCCGATGGGGACGCCAAGATGAATGATGATGATGATGATGAAGACGGGTTCAATTCCGACGAGTGGGAAGTCGCCTCCAACGATTCTGATTCTTCAACCGGGTGGATCAACGTCGAGCACTCCGACGACGAGGACGAAGGGCCCGCAGCCAAGAAGCAGCGTCGCGACAGCTCAGCGGCTCCTGACCTCATCTCCGACGAAGCCATGGCCACCGCCGCCGAAGCCAACCGCATCTCCAAGCTCGCCATGACCACGATCCTCACACCCGCCGATCTCGCCAAGCTGGCAGAACTCCGCCGGGAGGCCCAATTAGACAAGATGACAGGCAACGTCTCCAAGAGGAGACAAGAGCTTATTGCCAAGCACATCGAAGACGGCGTTACCGCCGACGACATCGAGTTGCCTGCGCAGATTGGCAAGAAGAGCACCAAGGAGGAGCGGGTGGCCATGGCCAAGGACGGCAAGCCTGGGCGCGAGGAGCACAAGTCTACGCAAGCAATCAGGAAATCCAAGAAGGAGGCTGAGGGCAAGTCGTCGACGAACAAGGAGAAGGCGAGAAAGAAGAACTTCTTGATGACGGTCGGTAAGGCGAGGGCGAAGCATAAGAGGAGTTTGGTGGATACCAAGAAGCGGTTGACGGCGCATATTGCTAGGAGTAAGAGCGGAGGAAGGAGGAGGAACGGTATGTAAGAGGGAGGATTGCGGATTTAATGATTTTCTGTTTTGGAATGGTATATACTCGTACGTTTTTAAGTTCTGGGAAATGTATTGCGGACGAGTGTTGTGCTCGTTAATGTGTGATCGCACATGTTATCTGTCCTTTCGGCGATGCTGTTGCCCTGTCCATGATATCAATGACCCCCCCTCCTCCCTACGGCCTGTCTCGTTCCACTTCTCGTTGACCATCTGTTGGACGCCTCAGCCTCGTCGCTTCACAAATTCCAGCTGGGCTCCCGATCTCGTCCAACTCTTGTCTTCAGCCTTGACTATACCTAGATACCATGATCAATAAGGCAAACATCAGAGGGGCGAGACAGGTCCACCGGATCATGTATTTGCAGAACTACGTAGCTGGTTCGATACCGTACTTTGATCTGATGTCAGCGGTGTTTGCCTACAAGTACCCCTCCGCCTTGCCTCACAGCCCTTCACTCCGTACCTTCCTGTGGGCAATGGATTATGGGCTGAGGACGTAATTGGTACCTGATACCTGAGGCTAGACCTTCGTCTGAAGTTTGGACGAGGCAGGCAGCTGGCAGAAGCCGGTGAACGCGGCGGGAGCCTTCTGGATAAAATAGGGCAGCAACCCCTCCACGCCCTCCTTCTCCTCCCAGAAAAATCCTTCTCTCCCTCCGTCAAACCATCTACAACACCATCACGGTCTTGATCTCGAGATCATCGTTCTTCCCTCAAGGCTTCGCCCCGCAAGCTCACGGCCCAAGAAGAAACAGGTCAGCACCGCCCAACTCGCTCATTCGCCAACGAGGAGAGAACGCGACAATGAAGTCTCACGTCTTTCTCACCCTGAGCGCCGGCCTCACCCAGGTCCTGGCTGCGCCCTACATCGAGAGACCTACCCGTGAGCTCACCGGCCATGAGACCGTCACTTCCACAGCCAGCGGGGAGTTTCACGTCGATGGCTTGCCTGGTCTTCCCAAGCCCGTTTTCTCGACTCATACTCACCACGCTCACGGCACTGAGACTGCCGCTGTGACTGTGCCTACGGGCGGTTACGGCGCCAGCACCACCGCGACTGAGTCCGACTCTGTGACTGAGAGCATCGTGACCGAGGTCGAGACCGACACCAAGACTGTCACCATCGCGGCCTCCGCCGATGCTATCACCGCTTCTGGCTTCACCAACTCAAGCGTTGCCGTCCCCAAGACCACCATCACCGTCACCCCGGTTTTTGTCACCGTCTCTGCCAACCATACCAGCCACAGCAGCACTCACGGCGAGACCCCAAGCTTTGCCGCCCGCCCCCGTGGTCTCCAAGCCGAGCAGGTTGCCCCTGAGAAGCAGTACACCACCCTGACCTTCACTTTCGACACTATGGCCACCACCTACACCCTGTTGCTTCCCAACGGCGCTGATGCCACCGACACTCCTGCCCCCGTCATCCGTCCCACCAGAAGCTACCCGCTCGCTCCTCCTTCCGGTACCTGGACCGAGTGGAACAGCATGGTCACCAGCACCCTCCCCGTCGTTCAGCGTCGGTCTGCCCCATCTTCGCCCGTCTCGCCCGTCGAGACCAGCGTCTCCATTGCCCCTGGTTACCACGTCCTTCCCATCCCTGCCCCCGCCCCGAACCCGTTGGAGGAGGCTGCCCTCAGCGTAACCACCCCCGCTCCCTCCCTGCTTCTTCCCAAGGAGCAGGTTCGTACCACCATTCTCAACGGCGGTGAGGGTGCTGTTGAGCGCATCTCCAAGGTTGGCAAAGGCGTTCAGGCCAAGCACATTGAGCATGAGGGCGTCCACGCTGGCAAGCAGAACGACGCCAACGATGAGCCCACGTCTCATGATCTGTCGTGGTATTTCACTGCGAGCTATACCGATGACTCGATCACCTTGACGATGCAGCCTTGTTATTATGACTGGCAGTGTTGGCCGGAGCCGAGCTCCTCGAACACGGAGACGTTTTTGCCGGGTGTTGATGGCGGTAAGATGGCTGCCGCGACTCAGGTTTGAACTGGGGTCCGGATCCTGGAACGCACACTTCGAGAATTCAGATTCGGCATGATCTGGTTTGGTCTGATTCGCGAGCTGGACTGGTACTCGATGGCTGGAGGGTAATGACTAATGAGTTGGGAATTCATGGTTTATGGCCTTTGCCTGGATGACTTGCATTTCAGCGTCGGAGTTCGGATCGGAAGATGTCTGGCTTTTAACTGTTTTGTAGCATGAGCTTGGCGGCTTTTCTGGTTCACATCTGACTGGAACTTGACCTGTCTTGCACCTTGGGCATATTCGGGGAGGAGCGAAGTGGTTGTCTGCTGTTGATAGACTCGGAAGGCTCTCGATGAGGAGGGCTGGAGGAGAAAACTGATGTTGATAGCAGAATACGACCTGACTTCCCTACCTTGTTCTTTTGAATGACTGCCTCTTTGTGCCTGAACTACCTCCGGTATTTACCATTTGAACAATCTTTCGCACTCCTGTCCTTCAGGATTTGTTGTTTCACATCCTCCGCAATCACCCTACCGCCCTTTCTCCTATAACCCGTTCCAGTCTCTCTCTCACCCCTTCCACTACCCCAAGCCTCCAGTCCCTCAACATCACTTGTTAGTAGAGACAGCATAAATGTCGAAGTCAAACTGAGTCTCAAACTCCTCCCTGCCTTTCGCCCCCTCCCAAACCCAAACACCCACACTACAACCCCCACACCTAAACTCCGCCCACCCATCTTCTCCAACCGTCACCACTTCCTTCCTCCACCCCAACACATCCGTCCACCGTTGCCCAGTACACTCCACGCCCACAAGCATCCTCTTCCACCCCTCTCCCGCGTTACTCATGACCACCGCGCATTTATCCTTTCTGTCCCACGTCCCGTGCCGCACCCAGCCGACACAGGTGGGATAGTCGAAATAGTCCGTCTGCGGTCCATACGCATAGAGCTTCCTGGCCAGGAGAAGCTTAGGGATAATGGTGACGGGGCCGCTGGTTGGTGTAGTGGGGGATGGGCTGTCAGGGGTAGGAGTGCAAAGGCCGTACAGGTCGCCGTAAAAGACACAGGGGTAGCCGGCTTCGCGGAGGAGAATGAGGGAGTAGCCGAGGGGAAAGAACCAGGGGGTTATGGGGACGGCAAGAGCTTGGAGAGGTTGGGTATCGTGGTTTTGGACTAGTGTCTGTCGCAGTGGGCGTTAGCAATTTTGGGGTTCTCAATTAGGAAGAAAAGGGGAAGGGATGGAGGGATAAGAGAGTGTAGTGGAAGAGAAGAAGAAGAAAACGAGCAAATAAGAAGAAAGGGAAGAGAGGAGAGACGTGGGTGAGGAAAGAAGAGAAAAAAGGAACATACCACAGCGCAGACGGGAGCTTTTTGCACCAGCGTGTTGTCAAACACCCTCCGCAGATCAGCAGAGACACTCGTACTGATCTCGCTAAAGTTATAAACTAGCGGCGCATCAAATAACGAGAACTTGTGATCCATCCGAGCAAGATAATCAGTCTGTTGTAAGTCAGCACTTCAGGTCCATTGTTGTAGACAAATTCACGAACGACATACCATGCTCTGCAACGAATCCTTCCAAAACTCGCCTACCAAGAACCAGCCCTCGCCAAACTCTCCATCCAGCATTTTCACGAACTTCCTCAAGAAACTCTCACTGAAATGCTTGACCGCATCAAACCTGATTCCTTTGATCGGCACCTCCTTTGCTAACCACCTTCCCCAATTCAGCACATCCTCTTCCACCTCCGGATGACTATAATCCAAATCGCACCCCATCAGATAGTCATAATTGCCCTTTTCACCATCAACATCCTCGGGACTCTTAGCCCACCCTTGGCTTTGCTCCCCAATGATCTGGTAGATAGTCCCCGCCTTGCCCGGATCGTCGGCGTTGAAGTCGATGCCGGAGAAGTGGTACCAGTGGTATTTCATCTTGCTGTATTGGTCTCCCCGACCAGGGAAGTCAAAGCCCACCCAGGCGTCGATCTCGTACTCCCCGCTTACTCTCACTCTCCGATCGTTGGCATCCACTTCAACAGCCTTGCACTTCTCGCGGTGGTCGGCGCCAAACCGATGGTTGAGGACCGCGTCCCAGTAGAGTCCTACGCCGTACTCTTTCCCCTTCTGGGCCAGCTCCAGCAGTTGGGCCTTGGTCCCCCACTTGGTGGCCACGGAACCCTTCTGGTCGAACTCGCCTAGGTCATAGAGGTCATAGATGTCGTAGCCGTTGGACTGGGGTGAGGTGGCTCTGCAGGAGGGAGGGATCCAGAGGGAGGAGATTCCGTGCTGTGAGAGTTGGGGGATCTGAAAAGACAGACGGAGGAAGTGGGCGTGGTCAGGAGGGATGTACCATTCGAAGGCCTGGAGGAGGGAGGCGTTTTGGGGGGTGGGCTCCTGTTGTGGTTCCGGAGCCGGAGCCGGAGCCGGGGATGGAGTTTGGAAGTTGTCGCCCATTTCGAGGTTTTGGGTGGTTGAGTTAAAGATGTGGAAGTTGACGGGGGATAGTGTCTGGAGGTGCTATCAGGCCGGAATATCTGTGTATTACTGTTGTCTAGGTAGGATAGACGGATAAGGTAATAAAGATGATAATGTGGAAGACGACAAAGCAGAGAGGCCACTTGCATCAAAGGAATTGGAGTGATGATAATAAACAAATCTGACCATGAGGCTTAGAGGACTCGGTCTGAAGCCATGTCAGCAAGAGCCATCTCGACACTTGCCCGACATCAGGCCCCGACTTCCAGAACAGTCAAAAACGTGCCATGCAAAGCATCGACGATGGTTCGGAACGCATCATGATTGGTTCAACAACCGAAAAACTGCGCCGGACGACTACCTACCGACGGCTGAAGATGACGAGCGGGCATGCCGATAAGGACCGGTCTGGAGAGAGGGGAGGGGTTGATTGGTGAAGATATGGTGTAGCTCATGGTGATTAGTGTCAGGTTCTATTCCACTTGGACTGGACATCGTTGTTAAATACTTGAAAAGACGGGACTTGAAGAATTCCAAGGAAACATCGATGTTGAAGGAGGAAAGAACGAGTGTTGTCGTTGACTCCAATGCCGCTAGGGATGCGGGGGCACCTTATCCGCTGTGCGTTGAAAACACGGTGTACAGCGGCAGGCAGCACTAACAGCGGGCCTTTAGCGCGTCACCTCCAGACGAAACATGTCCACCTCCCGGCCACATCGACTTCCCCGGATCCTCGTCGATCCTCCACGATGCGATGGAGTCAAGCAACAGCCTAGATCCCGGTTGAAGTCGCGAGGTCTAGCGGGTGAAGGGCCTGGCGGCTGTCAATCTGTCAGGTAACGTCAATTCGGAACACAGACTGCAGCAGAGCGTTGCACAGATGGGCGCCTCGGTGCGATCCTTGAACTACATATACACAACATGAACCTCGAGCTGACCATGGAACTCTTCTCTTTTCAGATTCCTTGACCGTGCGTCTCCTCGAACGTCAACAGACGGAATCTCCATCATATCCAAAGTACAAATCATTGCGCGCGAGCATATCGTCGATACGATACTTGCACGATCTTCCTCGAGCGAATACACTAGAAAGAGTAAAAAAGTAACAAAAAATTTGTTCGAACGTGCCCGAGGACAGATTCAAAAGACAGTTGCTTCTAGATAAGAGGGCACCTCAGTTACGGACTGAAGTGGCGCGCTTCACCTCTGCCGACTACGCTGTCTTGCACACGGTGGTCTGATGGCTGTACCTTCCAAACACAGACCTTAAGTACTGGGTAGCTATCAGACTTGGGGTCATGGCTCCTCAGTACAGAAACTGTTTGCCCACGGCAGGAGCCTGGAGCAGGAGCCGGTCCATAACATTCACTTGTGGGTTTGACGGTCTCTCCCATCGGCGGGAACCATGGTGCCATACATACCGATCAGTATGCTGTCAAGGATAGTTTTCAAGGCGCCGCAGCCTTTCTCGGACGGCCACTGATGACTGCCACGCTTGTATGTCAGGGACTTTCAGCCCCAAAGGGATTGTGATCTGCTTCCGGGCGGGCATGGAGGATCCAATACGGGAGCATCCTGTTCTCAACATCGAGCGCCAAAATCGCGAGAAAGCTCCAAGATCTAACTGGTTTTGCAAAGCAGACAGGCAGAACTTTTTCTTCTCCCGCTCGTCACAAAGACACCAAACTCTCGACAGCACTGACTAACCCCGTTTGATTCAACCGCAGTTTGTGGGATTACTAGCCTAGTCACTCAAGACAGCCTTTCCACGTTGAAAGCGACAACCAGTTGATAGGTATCTGGCTAGCAAAGCAGTTGAAGTAGCCAATATCAAGAATGACTGTTCTACGATGATGACTATGGTGACCTCTCCGCCGCATTGGACACTCATATTAACCGGAGTATATAAATCTGAGCTCCCATCACCGATTTCCATGCACACTCCTCTCATGCATTGTGTTATCTCTTCAGCAAATTCCCAACTCAAAGTGAAGCGGCATCTTGTGACCAGAAAACACACACACACATCATGCCCCTCCCGAGAAGAGTCCCCCTCAAAGCTCGGAACCCCAAACGATGGCGAGAAATAAAGGAAAATCCAAATACCGGCACCCCTAAACCCGACAAGCCCCAGGAGAAATGGGTATGCATCCATCCTGATTGCACCATCTTCCTCGCCGGGCATCGCATGAACCTAGACCTGACCTTTGATAGTAAAGCCGATCTGGACTGGCATAAGAGTCGTGCGCATCACTGGACTGACGACGAGTTGCAGGAGCAGCGGGGCTTGTTGCCTGGGACAGAGACTGAAGAGGATGATGATGATGGGAAGGGAAAGAGAATGGTGAAAGGGAAGGAGACCGAGGCCGGGAGAAATGGAATGGAAAGGAAAGGAGACGGGGACTGAGCAGTTGAGTATGAAGCTCGACGGCAGTGGAAAGTGCCACCTGGAAAGCAGTAACTCAGTTTGTAACATCTGTCTGTAGATATCTAGGTACAGATTGACGCCAACATTGCAATCCCTATAACCAGGCCGATAAATCTATGGTTTTGTAACGGCAGAACACGCTTTGCTGCTAAAACACGCACACCTGCATCAGACCTCCTTTTAAAGCTCCTCATGCTTAATCGGCTCCTCCTTGCTCCCCTTCTCCCCCTTCTGAGCCTTGGCCTCCTCCTTGGCCTTTTCGTCCGCCATAACCTTCCTCAATATCTCCTCGATCTCCTCATCACTGACCGTTTCCTTGGCCGGCTTTTCACCCGCCTTGGTGGCCTTGCCATTCTTCTTGCCCGCCTTGGCCTTTCCATTCGTCTTCCCGCCCTTGCCCTTCGTCTGCGTCTTCTCAAAGTTCTTCACCCCCTTCATCGCCAACGCCATTCCTGCCTTATCCAACTTCTCCCTCCTCTCCAGCAGGTCCTTGACCGTCAACACCGGGTCATCAGTGGGTCCCAACTTCTCCTGCTCTGCCACCTTCAGCTCCAACCAGGTAGAGATGGAAGTATACAGATCCTCGGATTCCTTGAGGTCTTCGAGTGTATAAAGAGGGGGAACGGGACCGAGGTCCTTCTCCAAAAACTTCATGGGGTCTTCGGCGGTGGCGGTGGTGGAGGCATCGTCTTCTAGGCCGTCGAAATCGCCGGTAGCGGAAGAAGCCGGGGCTGTGGTAGAAGAGGAGGAAGCGATAGACGTCGAAGCAGAGGCGCTAGCAGAGGCAGAAGCATGGAAGGCATCGTACGCAGAAATCTTCTCCCTGATGTCCTTGACAAATTTCTTTGTGTTGTGGAGAGCATCCTGCAGCCCCTTGAGAATTTCAGGCCTCTTCTCAGCTTCCTCCGCCCTCTTGAGGACAGGATCGACAATGTTTTGGAGCTCCTTGAGCTTGGCCTTGAATTCCTCGCGAGTGGCATCGGCGCCGTCGCCGTAGAGCCAATCGCTGGCCTCGTCCTTCTTTTGCTGGAGAGTCTCACGCTCGGAAGCGGTGGAGTGCGCAATGAAAGACTCGCGGTCCAGAATGTCGCTGATCTTGTAAGTGTAGGCTTCGAGCTGGTTAAGCGCTTCCTCGCGGAGTTGGCGGGTGCGGTCGGAGGCGGCGAAGGACTTAAGGCGGTCCTTGAGGGATTGGAGAGAGGCCTTGGTGAGGAGGGAGGTGGGGCCAGTGGGGGTGAGGGTAAAGTCAACGTTGATTTGAACGAGTTGCTTCTTCTTGGGCTCGCCGGGCTTGGTCTCGGCAGAGGCGGACGCAGAGGCCGAAGAAGAGGTGCTGGTGGTGGAGGAGGTGCTCGTAGAAGACTCGGTGGACGCAGAAGTAGAATCCTCATCACCCTCAGTCTTGTCCTTCTTGCCGAAACCAAAGAGGTTCTTGACGCCGTCGACAATACCCGCCTTTTCCAGCTCATCAGCCTCGCACTCAACGGCGGCCTTGGTAACGTCAACCTCGCCGTTCTCGCTGAGAAGACGAACGCCAACCTTGAACTTGATGTCGGCCTTTTCACACTTGTGCTTCTCCACCAACGCCTCCACGGAGGCAGTCAAGTTCTTGGTGGTGAAAACCGTGGTATCAACTTCCACACCATCCACCAACTGGTAGAAGTTGACGGACAAGTCCTGGACATTGTTGAAGGTGACCTCCTTCGCGGGCGCTCCCAACTGCGAGGTGGCGGTCCACAGACGCTGGTGCTTGGGCTTTCCCTCGTCATTCTTCCACCTCATTCCGGCGGGATAAGAAGCAATATCGGCGATCTTGATCTCCTTCACCCTGAAGCTGGGCGAAAGCTCAGCAGCGCGGAAACCAGCACCAAAAACGGCGGCTTCGTCTGAGTTGACGTTGGTGCGGATCTTGTCGGCTCCTCCCAGGACCTTCTCAAGCTCCTTCTGGACGAACGGAGTGCGCGAGGCGCCGCCGTGGAGGATAACGGAGTCGAGATTCTTGATTTGCAGACCGGCCATGGTAAGGGCATTGTTAATCGCGACGCTGACGCGCTGGGCGTGAGTGGCAGCCATCTCTTCAAACTCGGCGCGGGTAATCTTGTACTTGAAGTCGACATCGTCGTACAAGCCCTCAAAGGAAGCCTGGGTGTTCTGGTTAGCGGAGAGAACGTGTCTCAGGCGCTCGGCCTCCTTGGTAAGCTTGGCGATGGTGCGGCCGTGGGACTTGACGGCCTCGAGGGTGACGCCGGCCTTTTGCGCCTTGGGCGACTCAACGAATTGGCGGATCATGTCGTCGACGATAAGATAGTTGAGGGCGTCGCCGCCGAGAGTACGGTCCCAGCCGCTGCCGAGGACGGAAACCTCCTGAATAGTCTTGTTGAACTTGCCGACGTCTTTGACGGTGCGCGACTGCATCTGGAGAACGGTGGCCTTGGTAGAGCCGGCGCCCATGTCGAAGATCAGGTGGTGCTCGGCCCTCTCGCCCTTGTTAACGTTAGGGAACTGGCGGCTGGTGGCATAGTTGAGGCCGACAGCGAGACCGTCAGAGATAAGAGAGAGGACCTTGAGGCCGGCCAATTCGGCAGACAGCTCGACGGCGCGCTTCTCCTGGATGGTGTAGAAGGGCGGGACGGTGATGACGACGGAGCGCACAGAGCTAGAAGGACCAGCGAGAGACTCGGCGTTGGCGCGAACGCTCTGAAGCTCCATGGCCAACAACTCCTCGACCAGCCAAGCCTCCTCCTCTTCAGTGAAAGCGGCGCTCTTGAAGGCCGAAGTTCCCTTTGTCTTGTGCGCCTCCAGTCTCAGGGAAGGGTGCCTCTCGGCGTATTCTCTAACTTCGGCGCTGCCAGCGGGGAGGCCGAGGATGGCCTTGAGGTTCGGGTAAACGTCGCCGGGGATTCGGGGGGCGATGGCCATAGCGTCGGAGCCATACTCGCGCTCGGGATAGGCGCCCTTCTTGGGGCCATTGGAAGAGGGCTTGAAGGCGACGGCGGAGGTTTCTTTGCGACGGGAGTCTTTGGTCAGGACGATTTCGAGAGGGATGCCAGGCTTGACGAGGGCGGCCTTGATGTATTCGGTGCCCAAGTCAACACCCAGGACGGCCGAGGCGGCGAAGACATGGGCGGAAAAGAGGAAGATGGCGGAGAGGAATATCCTCAAGGGTGATAGTGTTGACACCCGCGCCATGGTGGGCGTTGTGTTGTGTGTTGTGTATGCGGTGGGGGTTCTCGATCGTTATGCGGTGTCGAGTGGGTGTTGTAAACAAGAGGACAAACAGGAGACTCTTCAAGGAGTGGCTGGAACTAAAAGAGGCATTCCGTCAGACAGAACAAAGTGGCCTCAAGTGGTGAAGATGTTGTGTTGTTCCTCTTGGAATTCGGAGGGGAGCTGCCGTTATGTCGTAGCGGTAGCGGGCAGCGCTGGCGGCAGGCATTGTCTCAGCACTAATTGATACCTGTTCTTATCGAAAGGACAGCTGTGAAGTATCCACTCGTGAAGCTATCTGACCAATGGGAGGCCTTTAGTGGTCTGGGCGCCCAGCAACTGCGAAACTTCGAGACAAATCGACATTTGCACTGAAACCACACCCATGAGAAAGTCAATTCGATCAAGCATTACAATACCTTCGTTCAGTTGTACCGTCGTTGTTGATCTGGCAGTCTTTAGTCTCTCATTTGATTAGCAGATGACGGGCATGACCGTATGAGGAGCCTCCCTCAAGTCTGATGTCATGCAATTAAAGAGTCCACAGCTGAGAGGATCCGCTCTGATGCCAAGCCCGTGTCCGGGTCCGCTGAACTACCGGCAACAGGCCCACTTTCACGGAGCCGGATTCCGGAGTGGGACGGAACTGCCCCTAGGCTCTGCAGTTTGTCCTGGTGAGTAACCGTCACACATCAGTGCTTCCTGCTATGGGCCCCTGGACCAACTTGGATCTTGGGTAACACTCTCGAAGGAAGTATGTGGCTCCTTCTTCTGTGCTACTACATGTGTGTTTCGAGGCGAAACAGTTGGGGGTCACTCCTCTCTGAGAGCGGCAACATAAACTGTACAACCTCGTGGGAAGGGTAACAGACACTTGGATAGCAAATGGGCAGCTTCCTGTTTTTGAAGAAACGTTGTCTGGACGTGACATCATGTTAGTCACAATGGAAGTTTGCGTGGTAGCCGTCCCGTGCCGAACCGAACTTCCACTGACACTGGCTCACCGATCTGGCTTACACATCACAAATTATTATGATACCCGGTTCATGAAGTTCCTTCTCCTACCTTGTTGTCGTGCTAGTAGCAAAATGGACAATGTACACCCGAGCAGTGACCTCGTTGACTTCCCAGCGCTCCTTCCTTCTCTTCTCAAAAAGGTCTTTGCTCCTGCCCTTCTGGCAATCACCGCTTAGGGCATGGAGATACTGCCTGGTGGGAAAATTGTTGAGAACCCTGACGGCCCTCTTGTCATTGCCCGCAAGTTAATCCGATGTATCATGCTCCAAAATCTTACGAGTTCGTCTCTCCGAAGGAAGAGCGAGCGGATATGACCCATCAAATTGGGAATTGGGAGAAAACGTATCCTGTGTCACCTGCATTTTATCGGATATTTTCTTTCCATTCTGTCACCGCGTTTCTTACCAACTGGGCCAGTTGAACAAGTATATAAGGGTAGGTACAGTGGGGGGCTGTGACACTCGAAATTTCAACCTCTTACATTCTCCTCTCAAGGTCAAAGTGAGGAAAAGAATCTCCCATTCATCACTGAAAGGGATATTCTTAACAGTCTCGGATCGCCAACTTCGACCTCAACACATTCCCAGACCCACACAGCCAAGATGGAGTTCAGCGTCCTCATCTCGGCGCTTCTCCTCCTCGCGGCTCACTCCCTCGCCGCCGTGGTTGCGCCCGGCTCACCTCATTCTCAACTTCACGATCTCCGCCGTGACTCAAAGGCCCCGGCATCATTCTCACTCCCGGTTCACTACAACGCCGCTTTCCACTCTGCCCATCACGACCAACCCTCCAACCATGGCCTTGCGTCGTACTACCGGTCCCTCTCCCGGTTGCCCAACATCAGCCTCGACTCGATCCCCTTGGGTCTTAAGAAGGTCGTCTCCGGCAACCTCAGCAAGGGTACCTCCTCCGGCAAACCCAAAGGCTCCAGCAGAAGTCTCCCCGCCACCCCCTTCTGGGAAGAGCGCGAGTACCTCACCCCGCTCACCGTCGGCACTCCTCCGCAGACCGTTCTCGTCAACCTCGACACCGGCTCCGTCAGTTTCTGGCTGTTGAGCTCGGAGACGTTCATCGCCAACAAGACGCTGCGGGCGTTGTATGATATTGGAAAGTCGACGACGGCGGAGAAGGTTGTTAATGCTTCTTGGGCTGCTCATTATGGTATGCCGTCCCTTTATTCACCCTCTCAACTCACTTGCCCCTCGCTTTTTTCTCTTTCCTTCCTTTTTCGGCCCTTCCCCGAAGACTGACACTGCGAACAAAACAGCGGATGGTAGCTACGCCGCTGGAAATGTATATCACGACACCCTCCGTTTGGGCAGTGTCGAAGTTCCCAAGGCCGTCGTGCAGAGTGCCCTCGAGGTCAGTCTCGACCTCGCCGCAGATCTCGCCACCTCCGGCATCATGGGTCTAGCATACAACATGTCCAGCGAAGTGCACCCCCTCGGCACCGAAACAACCGTGGTGGAGCAACTCTACGAGCGGCTGGACCAGCCTCTGATGACCATCGACCTGCGCACCCGCGCCAACGGAGCCTACACCTTCGGATCGATCCCGGCTGCTGCCGTTCCCGCCACAGACAATAAGGGAGAGAAGGGTCTAAGAGCGTCCTACAAGGGAGAAATCAACTACTACCCCCTCAGCCCCAGCGAGTACTGGCAGACCACCTACACCTTCTTCTCCATCGCCAACAGCACTTACCAATCGCCGTGGATGAACGGTCTCGAGGATGCCAACCCCCCTACTCAGGCTCAAGCCACTGCCACTCCCACTACCTCGACCTCTCCCACTGCCTCTACTGACAACCCGGGTGTCACAGCCACGCTGCTCCGCGAAGCCATCATCGACACGGGTACTTCCATCCTCCTCCTTCCCGACGCAATCGTCGACAAATACTACGCCCACGTTCCCGGCGCTGTATTCCGCACTGAATACAACGTTTGGACGTTCCCTTGCGATTTGAAGGTTCCTGTTCATACTAGGTCTGGTCCGCCTCCCGGTACTGGGTCTGAGGCTGACGGGAAGGGAGACAAGGAGAAGCCCGTGCTCCCGGATTTGAAGATCGCCTTCGGAGAAAACGGTGGTTGGCACGCTACTATCCCCGGAGCGCTGTTCAACTTCTCTGTAATCGAGGTTGAGGAGGATGATGATGGCTCTTCTACCGCTGCGCGTCCTGCTTCTTTGGAGGAGTTTGTTGGTGGTAGGGACGACAAGGCAGAGGAGGATGATCCGGGAATGATCACCCAGTGCATGGGTGGTATTCAGAACAACATGGGCCTGGATGTCTCTATCTTTGGGGACACCTTCCTCAAGGCTGTCTTTGTTGTGCTGGATATGAGGGGACGGGTGGGGTTTGCTGATAAGGATTTGTAGTTCCTCAGCAGCTCACCTAGGTCTCTGGTTGAAAGGACCAGATTCAAGGAGGGGCAAGTATTGGTCTTATGACAGAGGCATGGGCGTCTGGAGTTGGTACTGGTTCTTCGTGCTATTGACCCCTTTTCACACCTTCATTAGGTAGATATGAGCATCTCTTCCGGCGTCCAGGCGTTGTAAGACCGGTAGTATGAATTGACTGCTTCCCGTTCCAGTTGTTGATCTGGAGATAGCCATCATCGTGGCATGCCTATGAAGTTGCGTCAGTGACTGGCCTCTTCCGTGAACATGCATCTATGAGCACGAGGTAGCGGAAGCGGACGCTGCCATCCCTCAATGAACCCCTTGCATACAGCACACACCAAGGGAACGGAGACAGTTCCCTTCAAGTTACAAATCTCTGTTCAGACATGGTACAATATATCCAACATACTGTTGCAACAGAACTACCCTGAAATCCTAGACAAATGTCGTGTTTCTGTAGTTACAGGACATGTGAACCCTCCAAGAGCCGCCGCAGTCATCCTTGTGCTGCTCTCCCTTCTCCAATCCCTTCGTCCCATGCAAATGCCATTTCTCCAGGCAATTTGGCTAACCCTGAACCCTGCATCCAACCGTCCTGCCCCAGGACACAAACCGGCGAGAACGATCGTTGGTGGCCTCGTGTAGAGGCAAAGTGCAAGCGAGTGGATGATTATTAATGTTATGGCGTCCTGGTATCTGGTGTCGAAAGCCAAAACTCCGTAAACCGGGCCATGGTGATGGTTCAGTCCTCCTCTTGTCGCTTCCTCGAAAAACAGTCCTGGAGTTGAGTATCCTCGAAACCTGATATAGAGTGAAACGCAGTCGTAGTAGTCGAGAAAGAATGGACGTCTCCATTGTTGCGAAAAAGGCATGCGATTGGCATTGGCCCGGTCGGCGGCGAAGAAAGTATTAAAACTATAATAGTGTTGATATAGCGTGTCGTGGTATTCGTATTCCGCCGTCTATCATGGATTCGGTTCCAGGATTCGCCAACTGCTTCATGGGCTGTCGTGCGACCCTCCCGGTTGTTGTTATTCGCCGGCAAATCTCAGTAGATGTCGTCGTTTGTTGTAATGCAATTCCGATCCCTCCTCCACCCTCAGTGCTGTCGACAAGGTTGAGGAGGCATAGGGGGGTATCTCTCGAAATTCAGAATATTGTAGAGGTACTCAGTGGTATCGCTCGCGGTCGCCGTCTGGATTGGGGGCCACAAGGACAAAGTCAGCATAACTGGAGCTCTCGGATACGGTTTGGATGGATTTGATGGATGCTGCGTCATCTCCGGAGGAAGCAAATGTAGCGACGTGGAAGAACGGCTGATCAAGCGGTCGGGGTGCTCGTGGTGTTCGGGGGCTAGCGGGCTCGATCGGGGATTCCACTTCACCTTCACTTCCTATCGGAGTAGGCGGCATCGCCCCGGAAACTGGCGCCCGCTGGCTCTGTCTCGTGGTCCCTGGCCTGCTCTTGTTTTGCTGGTTCTGGGTCTGGATCTGTGATGGCTGTGCCTGGTTGCCGACGGCAGCTGCTGGGTACTGGCTCTTGAGTTTCTCCTCCATCTCACGGAGACGCGCCTCGAGGGCTTCGAGTTCGGACGTCTTCTTGTCGACTTCTTGCTTTCTGTTGCCACCGAAAGAGGTGGACGGGTTAGCGAATGGGTGCTAGCAGGGGTTGTGGAGAAGTATGCGAACCGGGTATCGAGGTCGATGTCAATCGTGGCGCTGGCGTTGGCGTTGGCGGAGACTGACCGCTTGTCGGTCTGGTCGGCGAGGTCGGTGATGTCCTTGTCGATGCGGAAGATGTCCATCAGCTCCTGGGAGAAGTTGCGCGCAATGGTGCTGTCATTTTTAGAGATGTTAGTCCGCTATGTTTTGTGTTTCTTCCGATGTATGTCGTCGCGTCATTGTGATGCCGGGCTGACTTATGCAAGGTACCGCTGTTGGCGTGGTGGGTGGAACAATGACGGGTTGACGGGTACTGTATAGTATAACAAGAAAGGGGATAAGGAATTTGGGAACGCACGATTGCGGGCGACGGCCATTGGGCTTCCAGTCGCGGTCAAGCTCTTCGTCGGTCATGTTGTTGTGCGTAGTAGTTGTGGTAGCAGTGGTGGAAGACATGATCTCTGGTAGATGTGAATATGGGATAGCAGAAGAGAGAAAGAAATCAAGAACGCGAAAAAGGATGGACGGCAAGGAGGAGTTGTCAAAGGATGAAATAGCGAAATGGAAATGGTCTCCCATCAATACCCTGATGCGAACGGATGGATGTGCCCTGTCCGTGTTAATGTCACCGTCTGGAGTGCCCTTAATTAGCGTGGAACTTGGCGGTACAATGCCCGGAGTACCTAACACTTTGTTTCCAACAAGGTGACGGGAGCAAGGGTCCCAGCTGGCTGGCAAAAGGCGGCCAGCTGCATTTCACCACAAGGCACAAGGCAGGACAATGGCGCCTGTCATTTTGTCACTGACTTGTCGCTCTTGAGCATCTCCTGACACTAACAACTCGGTCAGGAGTTCTGTTCCTCTGAGTGGTTGAACGGACGATGCACGACACCAGGCCCCCCTTTGACTCCTTGGACTCCTATCATGGCCAACCATGGCCACGAATCATGGCCCTATGAGATTATCAGTTTGCCCGGTGGGTACTGCTCGGGTCACCCGCTCAGGGCCACTACTGACTTCATCTCTCCTCCGCTATATTGAGGAGACAGAGGTACGTACAGAAAGGGGGCAACATCCGGGGAGTCAACGTTGAACCTTACAACAACGGAGAACACCTCAGTTCACCATGAACTGTTGACACTTCCACTTGACACACAAAACCAGAAATAAAAAAACATGTGGGCAGGGGCACAAATGAAACATCCAGGGTATCCAGATCATGCAGGCCATCCAGCCGGAGAGCATCATCCATTGTGAGGAGCGGGGACACCTTTGAAGGACAACTTCCCCGGCTTCATATGGAAGTTCAACCACAACCTTCATAAAATTTTGGATATCGCCTGTACCTACCTTAGTGTCATGCACCGAGTGGTGCAGCGAGGCGACTTAGGCACGCGGCACAGGTATGTAAGGTAAACTGCAACTTCCATTCAGATGGCCTCCCTCCGTGCTTTCATCCCCGGACACCACTACCACATCCACCGACACCATGACATACTCAACCCCAACTCTACATCCATTTATGGATGTAAACACAGGTTCCGAAGCCCCATCCGACCAACCCGAAATCAACAGGTGTGCGTTTACTATTTCAACCTCAAGTGGCGAGCACGACCAAGATGGGTGCGTCTCAACACCATGGTACCTCGCCAACCCCCCTTATCCCGTCGAGTTCACGATATTCCCAAAGCGGCCAAACACTCAAAGTTTATAGTTTGAGGAAAGAGCTCACTCATCCAGGCATTTCAATGTGTGTTTAAGAGGTTTTGGGACGAGTCGGGTCGAGAGTGTAGATCGAGTACCAGGAGCACTAAAATTGGTAGTCACATAGACACCCACTCACGTCGGCCAAATACAAAAAGTGGTGTCCCAGTCGACGATCAAGTGTGGAGATAATCGGATCAGAACTCGGAATCAAATATTAGGGCTATATAAAAGGGACGTACCTTTTTGCAGGTCCACCACGGAACTTGGAGCATCCACAACGGGCCTCAAAACGCCAACGCCGCTGACGTGGCACAACACCGCCGCATCAAAGAAAAAAAAGAGGAAAAGAGAAAAATTAATCAAAATTTTTTAGGGTTCTTGAATAATATTAAGGTACCGTAGTATACTATATTAAAGGAAAATATCAGGCAAAACTATTATAATACTATATTATATTACTATAATTTAATATATTATAATACAAATTAAATGATAAATAAAGAAATCTTTTTTAAAGTAATTACCGTTCTCCGTTTAAAATTTAGTATTACTTTACTTTAATTATCAATATTATAATATTATAGACTACCAAACATTATAAAACTAGCGTAATAGTAATAGTAAAATATTTTAATTGAAAAAAATTAAATATACGGACATTAAATAAACTAACCTACTAAAAATTTAAATACGTAAACTATTTTTTTATAAAACAACATCAAACCAAACCAGTGGTCAATATTATCAATACTATTACTACTACTACTATTACTACTACTATTATTATTATAATAAATTTCAATACTAACTACGATTAAACTTTCCCCCTATAATTAATAAATATTAATATTTTTCCTAAAAAATCTTTTTAATAAAATTCTATTTACTAGAATATTACATCAATTTATAATAAATATAGAGTAAATACTAACTAACGAAAATAACCTTATCGGGAGTAATAGTACCGAATTTATAAAAGTAATAAGTATTTATAATAAATATAATTTTAAAAACGATAATTAGAAAATTGAAAATTAATATCCGGGTAATTAAATACTATACCCGAAGACACCGCCCCTTAAAAGGAAAAAAATACTACTTACTAGGAATAAAAAGCTCTATTTAAGAATAGTTAAAACTAAAACCCTTGTAGTATATAAAGAAAAGAAATATTAATTTAATTATTATTTTAAAAGCTTTTACGCCTATTGTATTCGCTATATTTGCTACGCCCGCCGAATTTACTACTCCCGCCAAACTTACTATACCCGCCAAATTTACTATTCCCGCCGAGCCTACTATATTTACCAAGCTTACTATACCTGCCGAACCTACTATACTCGCTGAACGTATTATACCCGCCGTTCCTATATTTGTTAAACCTATTATAACCGCCGAACCTACTATACCCGCCGCTCCTACATTCGTTAAACCTACCGTAGCCGCCGAACCTACTATACCCGCCGCTCCCGCGTTTATTAAATTTACTATAACTACTGAACCTACTATACCCGCCGCTCCCGCGTTTATTAAACTTACTATAACCGCCGAACCTACTATAGCTATTAAATTTACTATAATTACTAAACTTATTATAGTCGCTAAATTTACTATAATCACTAAATTTATAAAAATTAATAGAGGTAAGAAGCCTACTTATTTAAATATATATAGAAAGGTTTAAACTAATATACTTTATTAAAGCCTACTATTCTATCTATTTTACCTTCCGAAACCTAAAACCCTTTTCGTATTCCTACAAACTTTTAAAACAGCGAATATAATTCTTTTCATACTAAGAAAATATCTTTTTTACAAAGGAACAATAAATATAATATAAAGACTTTTTAAATATAATTTACACGCCCTTTACAAAATAACATATATCTAAAAAAATTAAAAGAGCGACCATTCCTTTACTAATAACCCAATCTTTATATTATCGGTTATATAAAAAGAATAAGAAAAAAAAAGCGAAATATTAACCAACGTAAGAAATTATTGTATATATTTATTAACTATAATAAAGCTATTAAAAAATTACTTTCCCAAACGGATTAATATTATTTTAACCGGCTATTCAACTCAAAAATAACCCTAATAATATTAACAATCTACACCACTACCACAACTTAGAATTTTTAAATTAAAATAAAGTTTTAAACAATATTCAGAAATTTTTACTCTATAAAACCACTTATAACCTCCTTCTCTCTACTATTTACAATTAACTATACAATAGTAATAACCGAAATCCTAATTTCAAAAAACAATTACAGAAAGTAAATAAGCATTAACTTACAAGGTAAAATATTATTAACGTAAACCGTTTATAACGATTTATATACCCCAATTTATAGCGAATAAATAAGGATTTCATTAAAAATATTTAAATAAACTAAATACTAAACTTCCTAAACGCTCAACCCCCCAACCCGACCGACGGAAGTACTTAACGTATTAAATCTATTACTACTATCCGAAAACTAAATAATAAACTATTACCGGATATATTATAGGCTTTATTTGAATAATTTGAAATTTTAAAACAGCGCGGCTACCTAACGCTTATAAATATTATCTACAAAACCAATTAGCTTAACTAATACCTCTATATACTACTTATTCAAAATAAATAATATTATTAAATACTATATAATTACTTTCTTACTTAAGAAATTAATAGTAACATTATTACTAAAATATTATTGATAATTTATAAATAAATTAAAAAACAATATACTAAAGAGTAGCCACTTCGGGATATATTTACCTATAATTTAACTATAGAGTAAGAGGCAATACGGAATACCTTTAAAAACCAAAAAACTAAATACTTACTTTACTATATCTATACAAAACGAGTTTTATAAAAAGAATTCTCAACCAATATACAATACACTTATTTAAACTACATAATTTAAACGCTCAAATATTGTAAAACAAAAGCAAACTATCTAAAATCTATCGCTTCAACTAAAATAAGCGTACTAAGCAAAAATCGAATATATATCAAAAACAATTAAAAACTAATAATATAATTTTAAATAAATTAAATTAAAGAGTATTCTCCCCTCCTCTTATAAATAAATTATATTTTATTCCTACTCTAATAAATACCTTTTAATAATTAATACTATAAAAATTGTTACAACCAACCTCCTTAAAAACTACTACAATGCCTTAAAATACTAAAATAAAGTAGTTGTATAATAATTTTCCTTTATTAATATTCTTAAATATATTATCCGTATTAATAAAAAGTATTTTAACCGTACTATTAAAATATAAAATACTTTCCGTATTCGAATAATCTTTAAAATAAATATCTTCCCCAGCCTTATTCAATTCCCAACGCTAATATAAAAATTAATCCTATATAAAGCAAAAGAAAGTAGAAACTTTTACCAATCCAACAAAAATATTAATATACTATATATATATCTTATAAAATTAACCGGCAATAAAGAACAATTTAATCAAAAATCCGTTAACTATTTGTACTGTTTTTATAAAAAATAATAATTACCGTACAAATATCTTTAATACTATTATTTCGTCAACTACTACTAAACTTTAACGGAAGTTTATTTAGCCTATTAATTAAAGGAATAGTAATAAAAAAACTTCAAATTATACAAATCTCAAAAAATATAAAAGTAAAGAAAGGGGGGAAATAAACGAAGAACCTTCACCCAACGATAAAAAGTATAAGAAATTATAGAATTATAAATAATTTAATTCTACAATTAGCAAACTATTATAAATCTCCAATACGGGCCAAATATAATAGAAATTAGAAATATTTATATATAAATAATTGTAAAGGGCCTTAAATTATATAAAGAATTTAATATATAGTAGTAAATAAATAGAGGAAGGGTGCCCTAAAAATAATATAAAAATTAAGAATTGCGTACACAATAACATTCGTTACAATATTCGAAATAAGCAATACAATATAAAAAACCAATTGCAAATAATGAAAAAAAAACTAAAAACTTATATATATATATAAAAAAAAAAGGAAAAAACTAATAATAAAAAAAGAAAAAAAATAATCCGCACCGGGTTCGAACCAACAGCCTACTAATTTATTAAAATATTATCCAAATATTTATTTACGTACCTAACTAT